CATATGCAGGGGATCAACTCATGTTTGGTTTTGTGAGGAGCCGGATATGACCAAGAGACAAGGAGGGACCAGTGTGGAAATTAGGATTTGTAGACCCCATTAAAAGAAACTATATGTGCTGTGTATTAAGAGGTGATGGATTACTCTGCACTTTGAGCTTGTAAACTCAGGGATAAAAGCACATGCTGAGATTTAATGTGAGACCGTACGACCAGTGGGCCCTTTGTGTCATTGCCAAGCCTAAAATAGGGGTCAATGGCAAAGGCATTCGAATTCCTTTCCATATCAGAGTGGTTTGGGAAAGACATTTTTGCTTTAATTTGGTGGCTTCAAACCAACCCAATCCAATCCAATCGACACATTTTATATAGCACATTTTAAATAAACAAGTTTCCAAAGTGCTGCACGGAGATAAAAGTAACACATTTAGATATACAGGTTTGCCAGCTTTATATGTATCAAAAATAGAATAAGTAAAACAAGTATGATGCATAAGTAAAATCAATAAAAACATATATATTTTTTTAAATCTAGTTAAAATACCAGTTGTCCAATGTAAAAATAATTATCAAATACATTTAACTGATAAAACAGAGAACCATACAACTCAAGCTGTGTTAAAAGCCAAAGATTAAAAGTCGATCCATACAAATAATGGATTGAATTTTCAATTAGAATAATAATTGAGTTGTTTCACGTCTCAGAGCCCTGCACGGTAAATAGATTGCTGCTTTATATTCTGCTTCTTAAGGGGAATGCATTAAATAAAACATTTCCAGATAGAGGAATGCAAAGGCTGAGATAGAGAGAGAAAAAAATGAAAGATGGATAACTCATTTCCATGCAGTGCAGTGTACGATTCCACCTCATTCTTATTACGGTATTGGCATGTGGAGTCATAAACCAGAGAGTAATGCTTTCAAATAACCTAACTGCAGGCAACACGTTTGACTCCACAGCTATTTGAGAGCTTGTGACAGCGAGTCTGACATGTCTGATACTGGTTGTAAGTCAGGGAAAGTCATTCTAGGTTCTTACATTGGTTGGGGCTTTTGGCCATTAGTTGCTGGTGCTGACAGAAGTGGCCGACTGAGGTCAGATATGTGTGTGTGGTTAGATGATCCAATGGGAAAACCCAATGTAATAATTATGAAGAGGATTTACAGACGACAAGCTATGAGATTACACTCTGGCAAAGCTTTGAATACAGACTGTCATATAGTCTGATCACTCAACATATATAGAGAGGTTATGCTGTTAGTTTATATAGATTTCATTAGTTAGTTTTAAGTTTGATCCTTAGTTGCTTTGGATAAGACTATAAAACATGTCTGAGTTAAACATGCGCACTTAAATACTATGGTTAGTAAGTTTTGTAATGATGTCTTTTATGATTCTGCTGCTGGACACTTAATTTTTCCTATGGAGGATAATACAGTACCTATGTATCTATAAATATGTCTATCCATCTATCTATATCTATCTATCTATCTATCTATAAACTATAACGTGTTACAATGCAAAGAAAGGTTGTTAAATGGAATTATATGGTACAGTATAGTAATTTGTTGAACGCCGAGATATCCCGTGAACTCACCATAAGTAATGTGGGGTTGGCCACTTCTGTCATGGTGCAAAAATCGCGTCACGCAGTCTGCCAAAACTCCGCAATTGTCCAAAAATACTTAAAAGGAAGATTACATTTTGCCCATGATGCGCGCGTAAAGGGCGCAACACACGGAGTCAGTGGTTGTTTCCGAAAAGCTTTTAATCCCTCATACACACACAAACGCACATACACACACTATACGGACGTGAAATGTGAAAAGCAGCGACGTTCCAACAGCTGGAAGAGAAGTGACGAGGGGACCGGGAGTGTGCAGGGGAGGGATTGTCTCTGCGTGTGGCTGCAGTGTCACCTCTGCGCGCACTCACAGCACACATCCACAGAGTAATGGGCAGGTGTGAACAGAGCCCTGCACTTGACCTGATCCCTCTCTCGGAAAGAAATGGGACAAAATCACCAAGTTTTTGAGCTGTTTGGTAGTTTACAAACAACGCGAAACCCCCTCATATAATATAATGATGTAATAATTATTATCTAATGTAATTGTATCCTGTTAGAAAAGGAATAGGTCGTAGCTGACAGCACACAGAAAATATAGTGTTCAAGTTGTCAGCAACAGGGATGGATCTTCGCAATTTTATGTGTCAGCAAACCTCCTCTGTAATAGAGGCGGATATCCCGAATTCAAATACAACTGTGGTAAAGTCCTGAAGGATCATACAACCAGGTGGAAGCATGTATGAGTCAATAAAGGTAGTGTGTAATTGAAAACAACAGAGGAAGTGAAAGAATTCCGGTGGCCATGATTTATCTTTATAGGCAACCCTCCTCCCCAAAACAAACAAACAAACAAACAAACAAAACATATAGGGCCTTGTATGACCTAAAACACTAAAACATACAGAGTCGCTCAAATTGAGTAAAATCCTCAAGTTATGTGCACAATCTGAAAAATCTCTGCAAGTGCAGTCTTGTAAGATTCTGCAGACACCATCCAGACATTTGGGAATATCCCACTTCCAAATGTTCTTCACCATGATTTACATCTTTTGATAGTCCATCAGAACTCAAACTGATGTTTTTTGAATATTATAAGGGAAATAACATCAAGCTGACAATGTTAGGAACCTTTGTACATGGACAATTATTTGGAATTTAAAAATGTAATTAATTCATCTCATAGTGGAAAGTCTTTTGTAGATACATGTGTACAAAGAGAAACTTTTTCTGTTTACCTTGACGTGACATCACTACTGTGTGCATGTGTGTGTGTGTGTGTGTGTGTGTGTGTGTGTGTGTGTGTGTGTGTGTGTGTGTATGATAGACAGCAATGCCAGCTGAAGTCCAGTCTTCCCATGATCCCAGAAGGTGTTTGGAGAGGGATTTCACTAAGTGGTACGAGCAATTCTTGAAAGAATTTGACTTGTTAACAGTGCTGTTGGTAATACTTACATGGCTCAGTGTGATTTAATGAGTGAATGAATGAACGAGTTGGTAATCATTTTTTACTGACTGACAATTGCACACAGTGCAGGAGCAAGAAGACTGTGTTGTTGGTGCCAAAAAGAAAAAAAAACAAAAGGAGGGCATCAGGAAGATTTAACTGGTATCCCTGAATGTCCATACCCAAAGTATGTATTCTACTTTCAGTTATCATGGTATAGATCAGATCTGAGGAGAGCTAAACCAAACAATAACATTTTTGACAAGGAGTTGGTGGGTTCTCCTTAATAGAAGTTATTGTGCTACAATGTTGTATGTGACATTAGTGCCCACTTACAAGTCCCTTCATTTTGCATTTCCGACCATTTATGAGATAGAAAATCTAAAATCAACAACGCATAACACACTATGATTGATATATAGAATAAGATACTAGTGTAGACTATCTTATAGTATAGATGCTCACTTCTTTTACAGGCTGTATATCTGGCAGATGCACTTAAGTTTCTGTTTCTCCTCTGAAACCATCAAGCCAGCTGGGATAGAGAGCTAGGACCAATCCAAACAGCAGAGGAATGCTTTCCATCAGCTGGAGCTGCTCTGTCCTCTCCCACTGCCTTCATTGGTATGTGTAATTACTGCACAATTAAAGTGCCTCTGCTTCTGTGTGGACCAGTGCCTGGTGACCGCACTGCATCGTGTCAACAATGTGCCTTAGACACAACTATTTCACACCAGAAAGTCTGGAAACAAAGGTTGATATGAAAAGAAAACATGTTCTTTCCTGTTATTTGCAATAGTCGTGCAGATATCCAGATTCCTTTTTTATCCTTGGATAAACTGCTCAGATGATTTCCTCTACAATAAAATGACTTTATCATTTTATTAAAATTTACTTAATTCAATATTAAGAACGCAGAAAAAACAACCGTGGAAAATAACGCACTTTAACAACTGAATGGAAATGCTTGTGTGTGCTTCTGATTTCACTCTTAGGACCATAGTTGACCTATTCCAAGGGACGAAGTGGCACAATTAAATATTTTCACATTTTTGTTCTGTCCTGCTTTGACTAATATCCATGTTATTCAGTAGGAGTGGCCTGTATATGTTTGGATGCACAGATTTGTTTTTGATGTAGATCAGTAGTGAACTTAAAAGCACTTTCTGCTCCTGAATCAGAAGTATTTGAAATATAACTGTAACTGTCTTTTTAAAATCAGTAATAATGAAATACAAATATATTATACTCTAAACTGATAACTACCTGTCATGATATAAATGTATTATAATAATACAGTTGTTATCACATGAATGCAGTAAAACAATGCATTCATAAATGTTGGACAATGTTTCCCATGTAAACTGCATCTAACTGACTTTCTATTCCTGCCTCTGCAGTAAAACTGTGGAAGAGGGTAAACATTCACCCTCTATGCACAGCTCAGCTTTGAGGCACTTGTGGCAAAGGCCCAGCACATATTTTGCCGCACGTTTCTTCTCCGACCCCCTAAAGTGGCATTGTCTGCATTTTTAGTGAAACTTTATAGTCCAGCCATAAATTCTGTCACACTTTGGGCTGGCTCAGACTGTGGATCTGTTTTCACCAAGAGCAGGGAAAACAACATTATAAAAACCTTTAAGCTGAAGAAAGTTTAAAGAAATTTTAAATGATCTTTTATTTGTATTCATTTGATTGATTTATATTTATACTATTTATTTAAGCCCTAATAATTGTGAGTACAAATGTGAGAATAACATTGGTTGAAAAAGAGATGATCTATCTCATTGGGGGTATTCTTAAATAAATAAAAGAATAAAGGTTACATCCGAATGACTGTAACGTTGTTGAATCATTATATAATGCATGTTTAATACTAATAGTAATAATGAAAATATTGAAGTATAATTTGGTTTGAAAATTGCAAAACAAAGCTTTGAGTACTGTACATTTTTGCTATAGTTTCATGAATACATGATGTTTGTCTGGTCATCTTGTCTTCTGGTCCTTGTCCGATAACAACAGATTGTTCAGTTTGATGACAATGTTGGCAAAGTCTGTGAGATCCACAAAGTCTGAGGTGATGATGTTGACTCCGCCCACTCCGGGTTTCTGCGCCTCCACCCAGGACATGATGGTCGGGAGGTTCCTTTGTGGAAACATTACACACAGACAAAAGGTTTTAGGGAAGAATTCATTAAACTATTATTGCATTTTACATTCTTGGAATTTTACAATAAATTTCAACTGAGCGCTGAGAACAAAACCAGGAAGTCTGGTGTTTTCCCAGAGCTGATAAACCATCCCATTTCCTCGGAAGTGTAGAGTCAGAGCAAATCCTGTCTCGCCTCTGCGTCCTTCTCCTCTGTATCCATCACGCTAAAACCCATGAGCAGAGGAGCCCACTAACACTTTTACTTAAGAACTGTACTATTCTTAAATATTTCTCTCTGTATCGGTCCAACGTTTTATTCCTTAAACCAAAATATCGGTACTTTCTAAAAAATGATACATTGGATACAAATCCCAATGTATATAATAATACAGTATAAAGTATTTGAAGTTACTGCCTCCATAGTTTCTACAAAAACTTGCAGATACAAGGGTGAAGTTCAAAACTGCAGGAATACGTTTGTCCACTGTCATATGGACTAAAACAGCTTCTAGATGGTTCGTCAGCCGACCTTCAGCCCCGCCTACATACATGGGCGGCACGGTGGCTGAGTGGATAGCACTCTCGCCTCTCAGCAAGAAGGTCCTGGGTTCGAATCCCGGTTGGACCAGGGCCTTTCTGAGTGGAGTTTGCATGTTCTCTCCGTGTCTGTGTAGGTTTCCTCCGGGTGCTCCGGTTTCCCCTACCACTAAAAATATGTACAATAGGTCTGGCATGTGCCTCCTGTACTGGCACCCCCACTCCAAAAAATAACAATTGTAACCGCTTTGAGACTCCGATGTGCAGTGAAAAGGCGGTATATAAATAAAGCTTACTTACATACAATTGCAATTACAACTGCAATTTTAAGTAAGGGGCTGGAGCCCCTGAATTAATAGAACATGTATAATTTGAACATGAATATGTGTTAAGTCTATCTTTTTGTTGTTGTCTTGTATTTGTTGTTGTTTGTTTTTTGTTCTTATTCTGTTGTTTTTATTACACGTTCAAACGGACTTTCATTCATTCAATTTGGCTAACCATGCTTCTAAATGTATTCACTGATTGTGGTTAGTGATGTCTCTAAGTTCAGAGTAGGATAAAAGTAAGTAAGTAAGTAAGTAAGTTTTTATTTATATACCGCCTTTTCACTGCAGATCTGAGTCTCAAAGCGGTTTACAATTGTTAATTATGGGCATTTGTCTCTCACTCCACACAGAGATGGGAGCGGGGTCGCCAGTACAGGAGGCGCATGCCAGAACTATTGGACATATTTTTAGTGGTAGGGGAAACCGGAGTACCCGGAGGAAACCTACGCAGACACGGGGAGAACATGCAAACTCCACTCAGAAAGGCCCTGGTCCGACCGGGATTCGAACCCAGGACCTTTTTGCTGAGAGGCGAGAGTGCTATCCACTCAGCCACCGTGCCGCCATTGTTGTACAAAGTTGTACCATGTGGACCACTCTTATGTGAAGCCTGTTGTTGTCTTAGACTCCACTTACTCTAAATATTCTACTCTTTCTTTGAGATGTTATATTTGGGATTTTTTCAATCTGCGAGCCAATTATCAACATTTAAACAACAATCTTATACTGAAGAAATCCAATGCATAAAAGTTAATAAAGCCTACATTGATTTTTAAGACAATAATTGGGAAATATACTTTAAATTTATCAAGTAGCTATGCAAAAATAAAAAAATAGAAATCTGTTTGAGTGGGATTAAATGAGGTCAGGTTAAACAGTCCACAGAGAAATGGCTATTACTTAAAACCCATTGTATATTTGAACTTTCTGTCCACAGACCACATCAATCACGACCGACCTCTCGACCAGGTAATTGCGCAGTCCCCACATGAGACCTTTGGCCACGGTGTTGACCCGGGGCGTCAGGATGGCCTGGGACACGTGGAAGGATCCTTGCTTTTTCCTTTCCTTCAAAGTGGTGTCAAGGAACTAGGAAAGGAATCAGAATGTTATTGAACTGTGACTATTTCTGCAGTTATGGGCTGAGGTTTTGACTTGTGACCTTCATGAGTTTGTGTGGCTCTGTGGTGTTTGCCCACGGAGCAGGGATCTTGTTTCCAGGCCACAGGACAGGGACGCTCTGCCCTGATGGATGATGGTAAAAAACTATCACCTACAAAATAGATTGGACTTGTAATAACGGTCAAGCTCTCAGCCTAAAGATCCATATATAGGCTTACAGGGATCTTATAAGTTTGCGAAAAATTAAGTAACAAGACGTCTGAAATGGTAGCAAGTTCCAGAGAATCGGAGGCGTTTAATGTGGCCTTAAAATATGACTATTTATGGTATTGAGTGTCAATTATAATTAAGAGATATATCTGATGTTTATCTAAGACTTCTGATTATGAATTGTGTTGAATCATTGCAATTCTGTAAAAGAAAGAAAATGTAAAAAGTGGTAGGAAACACACGTTATACTCTACTCTTTTTCAAATTGTATAAGTATATATATGTTTTTTTTCTTTGTTATTGTATTGTACAATGAACAATTAAATACAAAAAAGACAACAATAACAAAAATACAACAACATTTCCCCCTAACGATGAAAATAGAAAGTTGTTAAGTTGGGAGTAGTGAAAGCAACTTATAAATAATACTAATACATACTTTGTTAAAATGAAGATAATCTAAAGATATCATCAACGTATGACCTGTTAAAGCTGTAAATATGAAACACATTATGAAATTCCAGAATTAAAATGATAACAGTGGGAAAAAAACTAACTGCAGTCAACAGCATTGTAAGATTACTGCTGCCCTCTGCTGTCCGAACATGGCAGTACATCCCTCACCTGTTTTACTATCTTTCTGAAGTTCTATAAATGCCGTTCTAATTCTAATTATGTGATATTAGTGAATTAGTTAAGTGAATTAAAGCAATTAGATCTAGAAACTAATAAGATGACACTAATTCCTGATCACGAGGGTCACAGGCAAGGATTACTTTACCACATAGGTTAAGCCATTACTGCAGCTATTGTGCGCCTAACCTACACTATATACTACAGTGTGTCACTAAACTAAGTTATTGTTTGTATTAACCTCTGAATGTTATTGTAACATACATGACATGATACAAAGCGAAAAGTTAGGGGAGAAGTTTAATCAATTCAATCCTCTGCATTTTACCCACTGATGCTGGAATATGGGATCCTGCAATCTCCAGTGGTCAAGGCAATCTGTCTTATTCCAAATGTTATGTTTATTTTGTTCTTTTTTGAGGACAGAGCATGTACCAAAAGACAGTAGTGGGATGTAGTTATGCATCCTGTTTTTGTTACCTGATATCTCTTGTCCCAGAGGTAGTCCAGTGTGATATGTTCCACCACACAGTTCATACAGAGCCGAGACCCGAACACTTGCTGCAGCATTTTAGTGAGGTACATGTGGTGCTCTGCGTTCATGGCATAGTAGTGATTAAAGTCCAGGAACACAACCTGGATCATAATACACAATCTTTATGCCTGTCCATGTACATGTATCATCAGACAAAGAAAGGGTGTCATACCTCCTTTTTATGTTTTGATAAGAAAGAGTTGATTTCTAAAAGTCCATCTACAACCTGTGGAGAACACATAATTGTTGTTTATTGTCTAAAACACATAATATGTACTGTATATATGTGGTAATTAATGGCATAGATGCAATAGTTCAATACATCTAAGTGTGGCGATCAAAACAGGAATACTCTGAGTCAATGTGACCCAAATGACTGATGCATTTAATGAACTTTGATCCACTCATATCCAAGACCCTGTTTCAACATGTTCAGATCTAAAACAGTAAATTCACAGTTAAAAATGGACTGAACTAAACTCTAACTTCTTTCACTGGGATGAAAACACACATTTTGCTTTTTCGTTACCTTGTGTCCAAACAATCCATGGATAAAGTAGATCTCATTCCCTTTCTCTCCTGGTTTGGCAGATACTCTTAGGTCAAAATATCGAATGCCTGCATCCAGTTGCTCCCTAAAAGTCAGGTTCTATAATATAGGAACGTACAGTGTTTTAGGTCATGGATCATAACTGAGAGAGATTTATAGTCCAAGTGATGATGACCGACTTACCTGGGTCATGGACCACTTCACCATCACTTTCTTGGCCACTAAACTGAACATTGTCGCCAGGTACTTAACAAAAATCTTTTGATCTGGGCCAACAGGAGCCGTGACATCCACCCAATAGGTGAATGAATCATGTGAACCTTTAGAAAAAGAAAATAAAGCACATTTTAAACCATGTTGCAGCGTTGAGAAAAATAGCCACATAAATACCTGGCACAGCGAGGTGCTTGAGCGGCATGGCACTGAGGGTGGATGGGAGACCCCCCATCCAGTCTGCGTTGGCATCTCCGATCCCTGCAGGTCTCGTCTTCATTTCACGCGTTGTGCTTAAAATCAGCACTAAAACAGTTCCCCTGCATAGTCCCGAACGCTCCAGGCAGATAGTTTCTGATATGCATCTTGTTCTCTGTAGTCTATATTTCTACATCGTTTAGCCAATAAATACTTTGTGTTCGTGGCTGGTCTAACAGGTCTTACAGGCGACATGTGCGTCTCTCACCTACCGGCATCCGTCCACAAAACTCTAATCTTCTTAAAGTGCATTCCACTACTGGGTTATCTCCGCTGTGCTGCGTCCCTAGACTTAACAAGATTCAAGGCTCCTCTGGGACAGTCCAAGTCCAAGACGGTCAGTGTCCTGGACAATAATACATTGCAGAATATAGTGTCTATATGTCCATGGTTTTATGCTAGAATCCACATTCCCAAACATTTTTTTTCCATTTTATAACAAATTGTCTAAATATATAGTGGCTTTCTTGACCGATGCTCAGTGAGGAGGCACGCACTACAGCTCCCTCTTGTGGCAAAACAATGTATGGCCGTAAGAGTATCATGGACTACAAATCCCAGCAGGCATTGCGGTGGCACGTCGAGCAGCTGTCATGCGTTTGTGTTGGTTTCCATAGTGAGAGACGCACACGCACACACACACACACCCATCACAGGAGGTCGGGTGCAGGAGACAGGGGACAGGAGACAGGATATAGGCTACAACTCATTTTGATATCAAGGGACATTTTTTACCAGAAAACTGAATAGGACCAAGAGCAGTGAATGGTGAGTAGAAGACCCACAGTGATGCTCGTCTGTTCACTACTGCTTCAGATCGACATGCTTGAAACCTGCACTCAATAGCTATGAAAACTTCCTTCTAACATTGGCCACTGATGATTATGTTTAGCCGCAAAATAGCCAATAAACATATGTGAGTCAACCGTGCCTGAGCTTACTACTGGAACATTGTAGCAGAATTACTACTAACATAAGCAAACATTAGAGTTATAGGCTGACTCTAGACACCCATTGTCATTTGACTTTGTGCTATTTCGTTTCTTTTTTTATTAAAATTGTCCATTGAGTATGGCAGTGCAGATACAATGGAGTTGGCCTTGATTATCTTGGTAAGTGCATTTGGCCTGGATGTGAGTCTTAATACCTCCCAATCCCCTCTACAGCAGCAGTCTGCCATATGTGACAGCTTCGAGTAGTAAGAGTTGGCCTGTCATAGATATTTCTGATAACAGGTCTGTTATTGATTCAATCCAAGTCTCATCTTAAAACATATTTCAAACATGTCCTCTTTAGATAGATATATAGATAGTTAGTTTTCCAGAAAAGCAAATTTGTCTGCACTGAATGGATACAGTGGATGTCTAAAAACATCCACTTTATCCATTCATCACATTACCATGACAAACAACACATGCATAATGATATATATAATATAATAATAAATAAATAATACATAATAATAGTGATGCTATAGCTAGATATACTTATAATTGCTTCTTCATTCTTTATTTCTTCTTTATAGTGTCTCCCATGTTGATTGTGTACATTTGTTCCTATAAAATAAATCAATGAATTATGCTTTAGTTAAAAAAGACAATTTATTTTATTTTAGTCTGGACCAATTGTTCATTTCTTTTGTGTTCTGTGCTTCTTGTTCCTATTGCTCTGTAACCCGTGATACAACACTGAAATTTCCCCACTGTGGGACAAATATCAGATCTCTTAATCAACAATATAGATCATGGCCTTGTTAAATTACCCATTATTTCTCTCTTGAATGTATTTGGCTGATGAGATGCTGGTGAGCGGCAGTAAGCACCGTGATGTAATATCCTATTTACATCTAATCGTCTCAGGCAGCGATGTCATCTCCCACAGGTGGTCCGTCCCACTGCACTGCTCACACATAAGCCTCTTCTCTGGGGCAGGATCAACAACGTGCCTAAGCTTTCCCATACATCACTGTAAATTCACCTTCTTTTCTCTACAGGTGTTGGAGACCGGCCAAAGAAATGACTTGGATTCTGAACCGCAAGCCCTTTCAGTGGATCTATTGTTTTGAATGCCAACAGTAAAGAGTGAGCCGTCTGAAGATCCATGCCTCAAAAGGACGTGGTTTTTTTGTTTTTTCTTCTGCCATAAGGAATGTTTATTGACGGGGGTTTGAGATGAACCGCTACACCACCCTGAAGCAGCTGGGTGATGGCACCTACGGGAGCGTGCTGATGGGGAGGAGCAATGAGTCTGGAGAACTGGTGGCCATCAAGAGGTGAGAACTAAAAGCTTTAGGATCATTTACTGTTGTTATTAATGTGACTCTGGGTGGATGAGTCACACAAACTTGTCATCAGAAACAATTTGGCTGGCAAGTAGGATCCAATATTTCAAAGTTTGATGTCCATAAGGATGATTTCTGTCATTTATTTTGTATTACTTGTTATTTTTTTGAGTTTTACTTCCTCTTTCTGGTCTTCGTCCCCAGCTCCAATGTTTTGCTTCCAGTTGAGTTTTGTTTTTTTGGATTCTTGTTTATAATTAAAGAAGCAGTATGTAAAAATCTGGCCAAAAGTGGTACTGCACTCTCCCTGGTTCAAGTTGCCAGATATGCTGACAAATCCAGCTTGGACCATAATATCTGAATAAAGAGTATTGTCAACAACAAATCTTTAACCAACACCTTTTTCACAAAGATAGAAATCCTGGTTTTATTCCGTCTTTTGTCATTAATGATTTGAGAATCATAACAAGACCTTTCTTAGTTCTGCAGCCACATGTTACTTTACCAGTGAGATTAGCTTGACGCGGTGAGTTGTGGCAACCCGTATCACGGACTTTCTGATTGGTAAAACGGTGGAGGTCGGGACATCGAAATGAAAGTAATAACAAGATGTAAGGGGTTTTGTCATTTTGTCAAATATCTCTGAACTACTGTTATCAGTTAAAGAAGTATAGAAAAGAGCATGGTTTATTGATGCCTTTTGACAGATTAGGGCCATTTAATGATGACTTGAAATGAAAAGCTTACATATTGCTACTTTCAATTACAGAATTGTTGCAGCTTTGCATTATCCCTCTTTTTTTGGATTGTGACAGATTTCATGTGGTAAACCATGACGGGGAAATAGGGGATAAAACTGTATAAATGTGAAAAATGTCAGACACTAAACCAATAGAATAGCAAACAATCACAACAATATTATCCCTCATCAAATACTTTCTATTTACTGTAGTAGTTATCCGTCACCATGCAATGCAAACAAACCGCCGGTATCTCACTGGTCTCAGCAGCACGGCAGCGTACTTCAATAATGAATGGGGAAACGGGTGGACGCGTGGATCCTTCGGTTTCCATGCAAGACAATACGTGTGCGGCTGGTGAAAGGCAGTGAAAGTAGAGGCTGTGTCGGGTTCCTGACTCTGTGGAAGGACTGACTGTAACTGGCCTCTGCCCAGACGCGAGGCCCACGTGATCATTACACGGGCGCAGGTGGCAACGCTTACATAACTCTGAGTGTAAGAGTTGCCCACTCACATCGCTGTAAAAAGAGACATTGTGCAAAATCCACTTTATGAGATTTTGACCATGTTACAACATTGTTTCATCATCAAGGAGACTTTTTAGATCCAATCACGCTATCAGGAACTTGTTGCGGAAACATGTAACTTTTCCCTTAGCTCCTGTCTCTGTCCTTTTGTCGTAATCGCTCAGAGAAGTTGTCTGCCTTTGATTTCACATTAAAACATGAACTAGCAAAGCAAATAGTTGTGTTCATTGTGTTTACTAAAATAATACATACAAGTTATTATTTAAAGGCATATAGGAGGATTCCATATCTGGTTGCCAGATATGGAGACGAATCCAGCTGGGACCATAACAGCTGAATAGACAAGAGTATTGTCAACAACAAGTCCAACAAGTATAACCAACACCTTTATCACAAAGATAGAAATCCTGGTTTGATTCCTTGTTTTGTCTTTAATGATTTGAGAATCATAACAAGACCTTTTTTAGTTCTGCAGCCACATGTTACTTTACCAGTGAGATTAGCTTGACGCGAGGAGTTCTGGCAACCCGGATAATGGTGGGCGGGACATCAAAATTAAAACAATAACAAGATTTATGGGCTGGAAATCCGAATATCTTGATTGGACTACTCTTATCAGTTACAGAAGTATTAGAAAAGAGCATGGTTTATTAAAGCCTTTTGACAGATTTGGGCCATTTAATGATGATTTGACATGAAAATCTTACATATTAGGGGTGAAAGTAGCTCAGTTAGTAGAGCATTGGCCTTTAGCCTGGAGGTTGCGGGTTCTTCCTGTGGACTTACCACCTGCAGAGGAGCAGCAAGGGACTGGTGCTGTGAGCATTGGGTGGCAGCTCTCATTATCCACCCCCCTATGTAATGAATCTTACATATTGCTATTTAAACTGATGTCAAAACAGATCACAGATCTGTCATCTCGCCCTAATGCTGTCACTTGCTTGTTTAACCCTTGTATTATGTTAAGGGTCAATTTGACCCATTTCAGTTTTTGTGTTGATCAAAGTACTTGTTATCCTTTCTTTTTCTTGCTGAAATTTGGTGACTTTTCCTCATCTAGGGTCATGAACTGGTGTGTAAAATCTGGACACTTTGATGTGTAGTGGAATGTCTGTGCAGCGTTTGGATACAAATATGATGTTGCGGGTAATTTTGACCCAGACGCTTTAATGTGAGTAAATAGTTGTTCAGATCCAAAAAAACATGTCTCTTTGACATTGTATTTTGATTGCCTCTGAGACCCAGAGCCAGGTGTGTGAAGAGAGGGAACTTTCTCACACTTGTCCTTGTCACTGTTCTCATATCATCTCTTTTGCCTAGCGTACATTGGACTGGCAACTGAATATATCCGTCGCATATGAGTTGCTGCCCCGCACACATCAACAATCTGGCGAAAGTAGAACACGGGCAACTAACTGAATCCGGAGATCGACTGTTTATCTCCAGTTGTAAGAGCGCTCACATCGACCGATTTCAACTGATCATCTCCATCATCTACTCTCAGTCGCCAAAAGCCGCCTTCAACTAGTTGTCTCCAGTTACTTTATCGATGTACGCTAGGCTTTAGACAAACTCACCAAAAATGAGCTCCAGAAGGATGACATCTGAGGAGGCTTTATCACAGATTTTTAACTGGAATAATGATGTAGAGGAAGAGATTTCAGAAACAAAGGATTTTTCAGAGACAGAGGACAGTGTTATTGCTGATCCAGATTGTCAATTTTTCTACGATAAGGAGGATTCAGAGGACGAATCTTTGGTCAAAGAAGAGGAAGGGAGGAAGCGAAAAGAAGGGAATAGATGAGGATGAACAGAGAGAAGGAAAACAGGATGAGAAAAAGGAAGGAGAAAGCATGACAGGAGGAAAGAATTGTCATTTTGACCCCAGAGGAGAACAAGAGGATTAGACTAAATATTTCTTAAATATAGCGTTGGAATTAAAAATGTATTGTTTGTCACTTTTCTAAATATTTATATAACCTAAAATAAAGTTGTTATTGGTTTAACCTATTTTCTTGACTGTTTTGAGTGCATTTACACAGTAAGGGTCAAAATGACCCGCAACATAATCAATGTCATTTTTTTTCAACATAATACAAGGGTTAAGTGTTTTGTTTTGGTGAATCATTTAAAAAGTTTTTTTTTTTTGTGGCTTTCAGGATGAAAAGAAAGTTCTATTCTTGGGATGAGTGTATGAACTTACGGGAGGTGAAGGTAAGAGCGTAGCAGCAGATTGTTCTCATAATGACGGTAATGCACGACCTTAATATGAACACATTTTCCCTCCAGTCCCTGAAGAAGCTGAACCATGCCAATGTTGTGAAGTTAAAAGAAGTAATCAGAGAAAATGACCATCTCTATTTTGTATTTGAGTACATGAAGGAAAACCTGTATCAGCTAATGAAGGACAGGTAAACAATAACTGACACTAACATTTCACTTTTTTATCACATTATCACATTTATTTCATCTCAGTCTTTGTATTTAACCACAACAAAATGTAAAATGTTGATATTATACTTTAGTGAACCCTGGAGAACCTTGGAAAATTCGAACAAAATGTGTATTTATGTCTGTAATTTCAAACGTTTAGCCAATATATGACATTATAGACTCAAGTGAGATATGGCCAAGTTGTTTTGATGATTATGGCATTTTCAGAAATATCACTGCAGTCCTTCATTACATTTTCTGAGATGTTTTATTTTGCATGTACAAGCTCTGTGCCAATTATCAACACAAATATTTATAACAAATACAGGCTTTATGTATTGCATGTAGTGAGTCTGCATAAACAGTACATTAGTTTCACATTGTAATCTGAATGACAGAATTGAATGGACTTTTGAACAATATTTAAATTTTCCCGAGTTGTGCCCTTATATGGTATGTAGTGAAAAGCTCATTGTCTGACATTACACTGTTTTTTTGCAGAAGAAAATTGTTTCCAGAGTCAGTAATAAGAAACATAAGCTTTCAAATTTTACAAGGCTTATCCTATATTCATAAAAGCGGTAGGTAGCATTGTGTTCGCTCCATGCATGAGAACGGCCTGAGCCTTTTACAGTATTGTGTGTGCACCAAAAAGGGTGGATTGCATGAGAGTTTTGTGGTTCCAACTCTGTTCTTAGATGTTTGGATGTCTCTCAAATCTAAAATCAGTGACATATATTTCTGTGTTACATTGGTCCAGTTGAGGCATCCATCCATCTTAACTATGAATTTCTTTTTGACCCGTTCTTCTCTCTTCTCTTTTCTGTCTGCGCTGCTTTCTGCTGTCAGGGAGAATAAGATGTTCTCTGAGAATGAAATTAGGAACATCATGTTTCAAGTGCTTTCTGGCTTGGCTTTTGTACACAAGCATGGTAAGGGCTTCATCACTGTCTTAAAGCTGGGGCATCTTACTTGTTATTGTTAAAATTATACATTTAGTTTGTCCCAACAGTCTTGTAAAAGTAATATGTTGTGAACAAATGTGTCTACAACATTCTGTCTTTGTCTTAGGTCGTATTTTTATTTTATCTTTAACATATTATCTTTTGTATTTTGTAAGAAAGATGTTGGTCAGAAGTGGACAGTTGCTGATTGGCTGAGTGAGGATGGTCCACTCTTCATTACTTTTGTGTCTGGAAAAAGCGTATTTAAACATAAGACAGAGGTCAAAAATTACCAAACTGTTTTGAGACCAGTTAGACGGATTTTATTACGTCATACATTTTCTGCATCTTGAAAGTTAGGTACCCCAGCTTTAATGTGCTGCATTGGGAGCTTCTGTTGTCGTAGTGTTTGTGTCATGTTCTTGAACTATGTAAATGAAAATAGCTGTCTGAGCAGTCAGAACTACAAGAGTTTACAAAAATTGTATGTAACTTATTTGTATTCAATAATTTTTTTCACAAGGAACATTTCTGTGGACATGTATAATCAACATTCCGGTAAATGTTTATCAGCTAGATATACTGCTAGTTTCCAACTGCAGTCTCTAGTCAAGGAGTTAAATCCAAGTACAACATACTGTTTTATAATAAGGAAGTGAATTATAAAACTTAACTTAATCTACATTTGACCGTAACAGAGAGGTCTGGCTGGTCAGTCCAACTATGTAGTAACATCTGAATAGTTCTTTCTAATTAAAACAAAACATATTTTCCAGGGTTCTTCCATCGTGATATGAAGCCGGAAAACCTGCTGTGCATGGGCCCGGAACTGGTGAAAGTAGCAGACTTTGGACTGGCCCGAGAAATACGCTCCAAACCACCGTACACCGATTATGTGTCAACTCGATGGTACTGTAAGATCACTGTTTCACTGTCTCCTCCAGGCCCAGAGCTTATTTATACCATATGGGAAACATTGTTGTAAACACAAAATACATTTATTAATTTTCAACAATGCTGATTAAATAATTGACTTAAATTAAACCATGGAAAGAATATGGATGATATAATGCTGCAGAGATATAATGCAAAAAACCATTGGAACAACATGATTCATGCATAATCTTAAAATTGTCTTCATAATTAAAGGGCCAGAGCTGAAACAAAAATGTACAGCACAATAAATCAATAATGAACTATAATTGCAGATTCAGCCCTCTACAACTAACATACTACAACTGACTGAATTAGGTCTCTCTGTTATTGCAAAGAAAGAATACAGACGATAAGTATTTTCCCACAAAATATATTGTGCGTTCTTCAGTGTTGTCCTTTGGTTTCCTACATTCAAAACATTTCACTGTAATTGATGCGCATTCCATTTTGTTTGTTTTTAAAGTTTTTAAACCTTCAGCCATTACTTTATTGGGAACACACACACATACAGACATTCCTTACATTATAGATAGATAAATTGGTCCATTCTTACAAAATTATTACAGAATATAGCATTTTCAAACCATTTGTTGTATGTCTTCTATTGTGAAATCTAAAACGCATCATTATCAAACATCCGTCATGTCCACAGGTATCGCGCTCCAGAGGTCCTGCTGCGGTCGTCCATGTACAGCTCCCCCATCGACCTGTGGGCAGTGGGCTGCATCATGGCCGAACTCTACACCCTGCGGCCGCTCTTCCCCGGGAACAGTGAAGTGGATGAAATTTTCAAGATCTGCCAAGTCCTGGGCACTGTAAAAAAGGTCAGAGGAGTCTTAAGGTGGAAGTCCTGCTTGACCTAAGTTCAACTTTTTAATAATTCACTGACTAACTATACAGCGAGGGCAAGTTGTGGCAAAGTCTGATGCATGTTTTATGAGGTATTGTACAAAAGCATTTAAGATTACTGTCCAAATCATAAGAGTCGCTGATCCAGTGGTGTGGGATTTCATTTTCAAAACATATAGGGGACAAAGAGGTCACATACTTCACAAACGCAACTGAATATGCTGTAACTTATTTGGTGGGGCAAAAGGAGCAAGCAAAAGTAAACAGCGTTGACATCAAGATTCAAGATTCAAGAATTTGTTTGCCATTTGCAGTAGTGCACCAGACGACAGCACACATCAGAGCTCTTGCCATGGATTTAGAATAGATGGATAGGCAACTCAAAGTGAAAACCAGGAAAAAAATCAATTGTTTTTTTCCCAATTCAATCAATCCTAAGTTGATTATTTGTTGATTATTTCGCTTGACATATATTTACCGACAATTACTGTGCTTAAGCAATGCCGTGTAGAATAAAATATCAATTCTGTTTTGGTTCAGGGTGACTGGCCTGAGGGATACCAATTGGCCACAGCTATGAACTTTCGCTTCCCGCAGTGTGTGCCCACTCACCTGAAGACCCTGATCCCGAACGCCAGCAATGAAGCTATTACTTTAATGAGAGACCTTCTCCAGTGGGATCCCAAGAAGAGGCCCACAGCTGTGCAGGTAGTCTTCATGTATGGGTACTCACCTGACCACTGTTGCCCAGGGTTTTTTTCTACTCTCTGCTCTGACGTATGTGGTATTAGCTCACTCAAGGGAAAAGACGTAGACAATGCTCTGTTTACCCAATGATGATCCACTGGGAGCTATTTCCCGCTTCTCAGCTGTTTCGGCTCCCAGTGGTTTTCTTGCTGACAGAAAGTGGATCTAAATTTAAATATGAAGTAATGCATGTATTTACTTGAAATGTGGCTATGAGTGAAGAGCTATTGGTTGAAGACTGATTCAACCAAAAGCTCTTCACTCAGGCGCTTCCTATCCATTTGTAGGCAGTAGTTCAAATATTTTGCTCCATAAAATATATTTTGAGTAAAAAATAATCTTTGTCATAGCTGGGGTACCTAAATTTCCTTCCAGAAAAGAACGCACTTTGCAATAAAATCTAAAACACAGAACAGGGCCTTTCTCAATAGAGTTTACACATTTTCCCTGTGTCTGCTCTGGTTTCCCCTACCACTAAATTCATTTACAATATCTCCCCTGTATCTGGGGCCAAGACTCCCCTGAAATAAAAAATAATAATAATCTGAATAAATGAAATGTGTAATATGTGTTTTAGGCTCTGCGGCATCCATACTTCCAAGTGGGTCAGATTTTAGGCCCAAGTCAGGAGGTGAAGAAGGTCCAGGCCAGACCCCAGGCTCCGAACGAGACACAAGAACCAAAAGCTGATCTCCAACAGTCCTCGACAGAACCTAAAGTCTCACCAACAAACAGCAAACCACAAAATCAGCACCCTGTTCAGCCCCTGCCCTTACAACCTGCTGAGAACACAACACGCCTCAACCAAGCTGTAAAGCTCTCTACTCTACTTTGTCACGGTTATATAGCCTACTTTTCTATTGATTTCTTCCCGTGTGTAGAAAGCAGGGTCTCTGGGAACAGAAAACGGTGTTGGTGGGATTGGGACGCTGAAGAATGGCCGCCGACGCTGGGGTCAAACTGTGGCCAAAACATCAGACAGCTGGGAGTCGGATCTCTCTGAGACGGCAGCTTCTATCTCCAAAAAGCCCAGCCTAATACAATCAGAAGAGGCCAAAAACCTCCCACCGTAAGTTACTCAGCTATGAGATGGTGGGAAAAAACCTTCTGGAGAATGAATTGTGAATAGTGCTGTATCAATGCATTCTTACTTTGTGGGTTTTTTGAGCATTCCTCCCCTTTTCTTGAAAGTCGTATTTTGTATTGGTCTCTTTTTTTCTTTACCAACCCTCAAAACATGTCATTATAAAACATACTTAAACAGTTATACATACAGTTAGAGACAAACACTAACTATTAACAACAGCTCTTGTTTCCCTTTATGAAAGTCTGAATGTCTTTGTTCTTTTTGTATTGAATGATTTGTTATAGTCTACAATCTTGCATGTTTGATTTGTTTCTTACACCTTTTTAAATAAATTCACATTACGTTTTACAAAATAGAAAATGTTTGAGCCAAGAATATCTCAATATGATATAATGACATTTTTTTATTTTTTTAGGGCGAAGGATCAAAAGCCTCTATATTCCTTCAGCTCTGTTACTAAGCTACCCAGCCATGTAAAGCTGAGCCAAACCGAACACAACCTCCCTGGATCCGCCGCTCGCCAACACTATCTCAGTCAGTCACGATACCTCCCTGGTAAATACACACAGAACGCATTATTCTTTGCTTTCCCATTTAAATGTTTCTTATCCGTGCTGTTTGTCTTGTCTCAGGACTCATTGGTAAAAACCAGTCTGGGGACAAAGAGCTGGGAGTGCGGACGCTGCGAGACTTGTGGGAGAACTCGTCGAGCACTGTAAATAAAGCACTAGCGCCCATTGGAGGGGGTTTATCTGTCACCAGAGCCAACGCAGGTAAACATACAGGTGTCACTGCACTAGTCTGACACTGGATAACACCAGGGAAAGTTGGCTTGAACTGGCACTACACAGAATTATCTATGACATTGCATAACATCACCTCAATAAACGAAAGAAGGGATAGCCTTTTCAACCATGATTCAATATTATATGCACCTTGGAACGGCAATAATTAGACAGCACTGTATTTTCCGGATTATAAATCGCTCTGGAGTATAAATTGCACCACCGAAAATGCATAATAAAGAAAGAAAAAACCTATATAAACCGGATTGAAATATACGTTTTTTCTTTTATACAGTTTGTGAGTTTTCATGACCAGTGAAAAAATGTTGCAGCTCCCGCCAAACAATGACAAAAACTGCAATTTATAATCCGAAAAATATGGTAATCATTACAAAAACTAGTAAATAATTTGAGAAAATTTGTTATACATTATTTTTACTCTCAAGACAATATTGATTATATTTCTGAACAGTCTTAGGGCACAGTCACAATAAATTATAGTTTTTTTGCTGGTACACAATTTTTCATTGTTTTCACAATTCTCCCCTCATCCTCGTCACCAATAGAGGCTTACAAAGTGAAGTTTTGTCAATAAAGATGATTGAATTGAATTGAATTGACAAAAGTTTTGCCTTCAGATAACCCAAAGGTTAAAATGGCTGACTTCTGCACACTGTATATTACTGTTGTGTGATCCAATCAAATCCAATGTATTTCTAAAGCACATTCTATAAACATAAGTAGAAAATTATGCACAAACAAAAAACAAAAAAATGTAATAAAAACAATAAAAATACCAGTTCACAAAAACAATATAATAACTAAAAAAATAAAAAATAAAACTAAAAACAATAAAATAAATAAAACAGATAAACAGATAAGTAATAATAAGCTTAGTTTTAGACTTACAGTAGACTTAGACAGACTTTATTGATCCACAAAGGAAATTGCGGTGTCACAGTAGCTTGCAAAGTATTTTACAATAAAAAAATTCCAATTATAAATAAGGAATATACCTATCTGTGAACATGTACACATTTGCAGTACAAAATACAGAGAAAATATACGATTTTAATATAATGGCACAAAAATTGCACATTTGTGGATCCAAAACAAAACAAGTGAACAGCTCGGTTGGCACCTTAAGTGAACCAGGAGAATAATTTCCTGAACTATATCTTAAGAGCTTGTTTAAAACTATATAACCACCATAAATTACCATGTTTTTGTGTGTTATAAAACTGCAGCTTTTGCCTATATTCATTCATATCTTATACATTGATGGGAACGAAGCGGTGACAGCTGATGGTGGATCATGTGACACAAAAAAGGCACTAAATGCTAATGTCCGGGCTAATGTTTTGATCAGAATGAAACCGAGGCAACGTTAGGACTCAGCCAAACTGTCTGCAGCCTTTATAATTCATTTGTTATGTAGCCAGTCACACAATATGGCTTCCTACAGTGCCTGCCTTTTTTCCCAAGCCTCCTGTCTCTTTCTTTCACCTTGTCTCTCCATCTTCATGTTTTATTCATAAGATTCTGACTTTCAGCAAAAGATCAAGTGCTCCTTTAAATGGCGCTTAAATGTACCCCCTGCCCACTGGTCCTACCCCCGAGCAACCACTAATGTTTGTTTTAAGACTACAAAAGAGCTTCAGATGTGGAAAAACAAGGGCAGATTTAGGGAACTGTATATTTAACAAATTATTACATTATTTTTTTCTCTGCTCCGGCTTTGAATATCACTTGTGTTTTTCATTTTCCTTCTTGCATGCACCCTCTCTCTTCTGCGACTAGAAGGGAATAAAGCTATGGATAGCCCCGAAGAGAAAACAATTGTTAAGGAAAGGATACTGGAGAAAGTTGATCTGGGCAAAGGTATTGAAGTAGTTAGATGCTGTTTACCATGAGGCGTGTCAAAGTCAATTTGGTCGAGGGTCGTATAAAAGTGGTTAAACAATGTTTTGTTTTTAAATTATTTTTTAAACAAATTTGCATCTTTGAACAACAAATTAACTGAATTTGAAATTAGTTTAGATTTTTATTTCTAGTTTTTATTTCTAGGTTTGGATTCAACCACAAGAAGAAATACTTTATATTTCCAAGAGCTCTATTGGAAGTTACTTATTTTTTTATTTTATAACAACTATAACTTCTGATTACTTCTGTTTTTAGTTAACATTTTAGAACATATTCAATTACATGGTTGTTTTCCTGCAATATAAGGCTTTAAGATTAAGTATAACATGCCATAGTATCCTATTACCATCAATGCTGCAAGTTACTATAATAAAGATAATTCAAAATCATTTCAGAGGCCACTAAAAATGGTCTCGCCAGCTGGATTTGGCACACGGGCCTGAGTTTGACACGCCTGCTGTATACTGTATTCAAACCTATCGCCACATGCTCATGCAAAAAGTGTTCTTATATGTAGTTGAATGATCCATGAATGTGTATAATTGTAGGTGTTGGTGTTGAGCAGCTTGTCCTCAAATACAAAACAATATACATCATTGAAGTGAAGTCAAACAGCTGTAGGGTAATTGGAGGAAAACTAACAACCAGTGTGATTTGACAAGCTTTTCACCCCAACACTCAACATGTGAATGGGCGCAACAGCGGGAGCCCAGGCCGCAAATACACACTCCACATTGTGACCTAAAGATGTGTCTCAATTCAATAGATTCTAAACCTTAAGTAACATAATAGCAATAATGCGGAATTTCACTAAGGACTCTGATAGCGATCTGCGACTGCTGCAGGAACAAACCACTCAATGACATCAATCACTCGAGCTCCGCTTTTGAAAATGCAAGGGCCCTCACTTCACACACACTGGACTCAAGAAGGAAAACACAATTTCAGCTAACAAAACCTGTATTCATTATAATACTAGTTTAACCTCTGTAAAAAAGTAAATACTGCAATCACGTGCAATGCTGCAATTTCAGACTGTATGTATGTATTATATGTTTATTTGATAGGGACAGAACAAGAAGCATTGATACAAATAACCAACGCCATGTATGAAGGCTGTATAGCTAATAACAGCTAATTCACAGACCTGGTCCATGAGACGTAAAAATACATCACATTTACAGATCATTATAAAAACACAGATTACACACTACAGAATATTTACAATAGAATATGTGCTCACAATTAATGTAACTTTAATTTTAAACTCATTTCAATTTCGGCAGGTCAAATGTTCCAGAGCTGTGTCCACTGAATGTCACTTTCTCTACTTATCCTGCTTTATATGTTTGTAACCTTGCACTATATTAAGATACATTTTTCGAAAGATTGATATTGAAGCATTTACAGCTAGCTCAGACACATAGCAGCTACTTATATTGTATATTTTGTGTGCTCCCAATGTGCTCTTACTGTTGTCCTGTATGTGCGCTGCAACATTGACATTTCCCCACTGTACAATGAATAAAGCATCTCCTATCCTATCTTTAAAGGCAATTTTGTGAGCACCAAATACAACCTTTCTGCTGGATACATCCCATCGTTCCAAAAGAAAGAAGTAGGCTCGGTGGGACAGCGGATCCAGCTCGCTCCGTTAGCCGGGCAGCCCTCCAGTAGGTCACCATTTTTGTTCACTACTGCTGCTGTGTCTTCCTTTTCCCCTTCTCTCGAGTGCCAGACTATAATCTACAATTTCTCTCTATTCATTTCCAGCAAATCTATCTGCTTCTGATCTTAAAAAAGAAAAAAAATCTAAATCTGCAAAAGCTAAGCATCTCTCTGGCTCCCCTTTGAGTGAACATGCTGAAGGTAAACTTTCTTGTTTCCGGTTCTTTTCTACTGTTTTCTCTATTATTCAGATCAGTGGCCACTCCCCTGTGTCTTGGAATCTGATCTTCACCCAAAAGATATTTCCAGAATATCTAAAGAGAATTTATATTAAAATGAATTCACTGTGTATTCATTTAAATTCTATTATCATGGCAAATGTGTTCTTAAAATTCATATTGTGTGCTGTAATTCCTGGCAATGCTTTATCTTCATTATAATCAAACTATCGCTAAAGGTCAGTTATTGAAAATCGCAAAATGAGACGTTTGCGTACACTGTCTGAAATGAAACTTCCTACTTTTCAGAATTATTTTGAATAATTCATTAAAAAAATACATTAGCGGCATCAAGCCAATTTAGAAATTATCTTTTACAAGTGCTGCACAGTTTTAACAATTCACGTGAAGAATAAGAAGTTGAATTTTTTTGTGTGAATTATCAATCAATAGTTGTCACATACAGTGCACATACCATAAGCAATATGTACACACTGTTAAACAATTATTTTCTTCACATTTGCATTTATCCTTGTATTTCTAAACCTGTTTATACTATAATCTATACACGGAGTTAGTCTGATTTTACTAACATGAGCTCATTTGAAATATTTTGAGGAAATTTTGTCATCTGAATAATTGCTGAGTTCTCTAAAGGGAAAAGGTTGGATGCCACTAAGTTAAAGCTACACTGGTGCTTTAGATGCCACTGCTTTGTTTGAACTTTTACTCTGGATGCTGTAAAACTGATCCATCTTACAGTTACTGAGCTGGAGACAAATGTTTGACATGTCCGTATAGAGACAGCCACACAGTAACTCAAAGCCATTGTATTATAGATTATGAAGACTGGAAGAGGAGAGCGGACCGGACTCAGCTCAAGGGCAGCAGCTACTCCGCTCTGGGGAAGACCTCCGGAAACCTCCTGCCACGGGCCCCTGCGGTGCAACCGGTGCACGGGAGAGTAGACTGGACTTCCAAATACGGGGGGAACCGGTAGTACACGGCACGTAACCCGAAATGACCGTTAGCTGGAATCAATATCGCACTTAATACCTATAGATCTCGTATTTACAATAGTCTAATGGTTCCCAGTGGGGTTTTTGGAACAGGGTACTACCTTCACTGCGCTTCAATAGCTCCGTTTAGATTATTTATGAAAAGTCTAATGTTTGAACTTGTTTTTTATGCATTTCTGTTATCGTCAAATGTATCATCAAAGACTGTAATGTAACTGTACTTCACGTTAGCGGACTGACAAAATGCAAGCACAATGACATTTTTATACCTTTTCAAGAGATGAGTTCTTTGTATCACGCAATTTATGTTTTGTTACATTTTATATATTCAATTTTTTTCAGTTTACAAAAGCAATAAATGAGACGGTTCTGTTTTTTTCTAAAATAAACATGTGATTGTATTTTCTTCATTTTATTTACACAGAATAGTTGCATTTAACAAAACTTTTCTCAACAAAAACTTAAGACAAATACTGAGAGATATTCTATAAAGGCTTGTTGGGTTTCTGGAGCAATGTTAGGCCAAGTTTTCCAACCATCAGAAGACTACAAAAACAGGAAATACATTGTTTTATTGTTATAATAAAAACACACATTGGGATTGTGATGATAGTTGCAGACATATACCTTGCTCCAGCCATGACGCCAGCGGGAAACAATTTTCTAGATCCATAAAATCTCTTCCCCATGACACCGGATAGAGCTCCAGCAGTAGCTAAAAGATCAAATGAAATTCAATCTCACGCAAGATTATGAGAATAATAATAAAATAATTACACATCCAGCTTATATAGTGCTTTTTGGATAACTCAAAGATGCTATACAAAAGTTACAAAAATAAAAACTGAAGAACAAATTGAGGAAAGACAAAGGGGAAACAGGTGGGGTTAAAACAGTTCTGTAGTAATAACTTACCAAGAGACACCCAGATATTATTGGGATCATTGGAGGTCTGATAGGCCCCGAAACCAGCAAGTCCTCCAAAGACCAGCCCAGCGCCAAGAGACGGGACACTGCCTGTGAGAGAGCAGACAACAGCTGTATATGACACCGGTGAGGACCAGACTGAGGACGGTACAACCCGGGAATTTACGATGCAATTACAAACACATAGAATATTTGGAGATGATTTACCATCTTCATTGAAAGGAACCAAGTATATTTTCCTGGTATCTGTACTTTACTTTTACCCCTTACTTTCAGAAAACGGGTGTGAAGTGATTAGCCACGTTTGTGAGTGAAGAGATCAAACCATATAATCATTTAATTTTAGTTACACCTTGTTTATTGTCAGCCAGTACTGTACAGAGATTTTGATACAGTATAAAAGTGTAGCAAAATGTTTCAAAGGGAAGCAATGTGACTTAAATACATCCAAACACATAGTAAGGGATTACAGTACTTTTACCAGTTTTTATACTAGTGCCTATACTTTTACTTAAGTCTGCTTCTATTACTTACCTGCTTCTATAAGTAATACTATGATATGACACCTACCTGCTTTCACATAGCCAACAATACCCCCAGCAGCAACCAGAGCTGCGTATCCATATCCAACCCAATCCACGGACATGTTTGACTCCTGAAAAAGACACAAAGAAACATAAGACAATCAAATTAGTCCATAAAATAAATTAACATCAACTCACACTGGTGTTATTATTATATACTGGACTTGGCGTGGTCTGAGATATAACAGAAATATTAAATAATACTAAATGTGCAGCCAGCAAACAAGGAAACATTGTTGCCCCGAATCTATTGGATGCTACAAAAGACTGTTAAAGACTTGAGCTTCTGGTTTGGTAGATAAGAGCAACTGGCGCATTATCTGGAGATTTAGGCGCAGTAGACGCAGATCCACGAGTAGCGCACATGTGGTGGATTAGAACAACACTAAAGACACATGTGCAGAAAACAGAGACGATGGACAAATAAACATACCTTGCTGTAAATATCAATAAACACGGCAGCTTTTTCTTTTGCTTTTCCTACGACCTTCGGGCTCTGGATCTATGTAAGCGTGTTTTCCGCCGAGCACAAAATACGGGTGCACAGAAGCGACGACACAGCGCAGTGCCTGTTGGGATATGTAGTTTCACCAGGTTCTACTTCCTCTCCATGGACTGGATATGTAATGTTGGGCTTTACAGAGTGCATGGGCTTCTATATAGGAATTGAATGAAGATTAATTAAACAAAGAAATGTTCACACTTTTTGTATAATTATTATTAAAATAAGCGTCAGCCATAATTCCATCCATTGCATTTTTTCTTCCGCTTCATCCGTTGCCGGGTCGCGGGGGCAGCAGTCTATAGCAGGGACACCCAGACCTCCCTGTCCACACACACCTCCTCCAGCTCATCCGCGGGAATGTCAGCCATAATAAATCAATAAATAGATGAATACAGTAATTAATGAAATAAAAACAACCTGAATCATAATTACGTTTATTGCCATTGTAAGTAACAGGAACTCACAAACCAGGATTTACAACAACAATAATAATACTAAAACTAATACAATAATAAATAATATTAATAATTAAGTCAGATCTAGATATAATACCTTTAAACAGTAACGACAACTATGACCACACGATGGCGCCACCAGATCATACAAAGCAGCGGTAGAGCTCTGTACAATGAGGTTCTGGGCCTGTACGCAAATATTATGTCTCATGGCTTTTATTCGTTTTTCTTATGAGGGCTATTGTATCATCTATGTTATTACTTTCAATCGGGCCTACATGAAATCGTGTAAATCATGTTGAATATTGTTATTTTTGTTTGTTTGTTTTTGGCTCACTTGGCAGTTCACGCTTTAGTGTTTCCATTAGGTTTCACTATGTGGCGCTCTAACACAAGTTTAATGTGACTATCCACTGGTATTGAAGCCATAACCAATCTATAGAATTTGACCAAAGTGTATTCTGCAAAGCAACAAGTTGAAGGCACCTGGAACATGGGTTGTCATAATGAACCAAACACACAGCCTTATATCAATAGACTATGTTATCACTAAATGACAGCATAGATGATGTATTGTTATGCACCTAAAGATCAGAATAATTTTTTTTTTTTTTTTTTTTTTTTCAGAATCAGAATCAGAATCATTTTTATTGCCACGTAAGTAACAGGAGGTCACAGACTAGGAAATTGCTTTGGCTCAGTGCAACAGTCAAAAAGAGATAATAAAAATAAGAATAAAAAACACTTCTAAAGAATAATGGGGTAGAGTTACAGTTACTATTTACAATATACAAGTGCACATGGTGCACACAATGTAAGGTGACAGCAGTACAGTGAAGTAAAGTGACGTATGATGGGCAAGATATATGCACCTTTGAGTTCCATGCATTCAGGGCGGATTATGGGATGTTCTGGGGCTGCACATGTTTGGTCTTTTGGGTGCGTGAGTTGATAGTCAAAGTTGAAGGAAAGGACTTTGTGTTACTATTTTGTATGAAAAGGAGTTAACAAATATAAATATCAATTATTAGGTTCTCCTCTTTACACAGAGCCATAATCATAAGGTTTTTTCGTTGAAGAGTGTGTTTTCTAGAAAAAAAAAGAAAAGAAATTCAATCAAACGAAGGGCAAACAACATTTCTGAACAAAACAGTCTAAAATAAATTTTGTGTCATACTGATCCGATTAATGATTAGGTCTGCAGCATTTTCCGGATACTTTTGACGAAAAGTATATTTTCCCTTTTTAAACATACTTTATAATTCGGTATAATTGTTGTACAGTTGGAGAATAACTGTATACAGTTAACTTATATGTATGTTTTCTTTGCGCCATTCACTCAGCAATAGTGGTAGTTATTACTTCCAGTCCACGCCCGCAGAGTTGCGCATGCGTCACCAGGTGGCCGCTTTTATGGCCAGGTGAGACAATTCTTCTACAGGCGAAAAAAGTAAAGCTTTTAGCAAACTATTGAAGACCTCCATGCGATTTATTCATTATCACAGGAGTAAATAAAACAAGCTATTCCAGAGGCCACGGCGGACGGAGATGTCAATTATGGGCAAAATGGGGGACTGGCAGGTATGTGTTTTTATGACAAAGAGAAAATGTTTGAAAGCTGTCTTCATGTTTAGGCAGAATATAGGTCTGAAATGCAGGTTTAGTACATGTTGTAACATGCACCGCAGAGAGAGATTCTGTTGGTATTTTGTCCATATAAAGCCTATTTCATATTTTTGTTTACATTATATAGACATAGACTTTAGATTTGTTTGGTTTCTGTTTATGGTGCAGCCCCAACGCTGTATACGCATCAGCCTAATGTTGAGTGTGACTATAGGTCTATAGATTATAATGTTTTCTTATGAGTCGACAAGAACATGGTCCATGTCTTCAACTTTTCGGTCAACGAGTAATTGTATATTCCTCCCTGAGTTTCACTCACTTTCCTCAAAACAAACCGACAAGAAAGATAGTTTCACTACTCATTAATAACAACAGCTCATTTAGAGCACTCCACCAGAAATGGTAATGCTAATACAGGTTTAAAGAGAAAATGAAGCAACAGTCTGCTGCCCCCGACCCGCTGAGGTGAGCGAGCGGAGACAGAGCAGAGACAGAGCAGAGACAGAGCAGAGCCAGCTCCCCGAGCCCTCATTCACATGAATCCGGCCCATGTTGTTGTGTTAATCATTTACACTGCCCCCTTCGTGCGCCAAAACCATGTGCTACGTGTGTGGACCACATCCAATTGACCCAAGCTATTACCATAATTCGTAAAGAAGGAGCTCTCGTTCTCACTAGGATTAAAATAACAGTTTAACAAAACCTGACATTGACAGCAGAGCGGCTGACTCCTTATTTGCATTTGGACTCACATAAAGACTCATACAGAAACAGGCTCGATTAGTCTGTAAAACATGAGTAAATACAAATAAACAACTGGTTGCAAAGTTTAGTTACAGATATAACACCTTCAAAATCCAGCACATTTTGAGGGGATTTTTATTTTGTTAAATTGGGCCATAAAGATATTAGTGCGTTTAAAAAGATATATGAAAATATTACATATCGGCCTGTTATATCCGCACACACGGAAAGAGTCCAAGGGTTGGATACAAGTGTAAACGGGTAGCGCCTGGACCCATTGTACCCCTCCCCTTCACAAACACCTGAGTGAACAGTAGAAATAACACGCACGTCTCGTAAACTTTTTTTCTTCTCTTTTTTACCTGTACGTTGTCCATTGGGTGCAGGCGAGGCAGATGGGAGAATCAAAACGGCTGTTGATATGCTAATGAGGCCCAGTGCACTGTGTTATTATACACTGCACAGCCCTGCTGCAACTTCTACCATTAGAGGGAGACCTCAGAGCGCACACTGACAGAGCTGCACAGCTGCAATAAAAAGTACTTTTTCTGAGCGGGAGCCACAATCCACTGAGTGAAAAGACCATAAGGCGATACCTTTATCTACTCACAGGCCACTTCTGCAACCCATGAAAATGCTCTGGAAATTAACTGATAACATTAAATATGAAGATTGCGAGGTAAGAGTTCTTCATAATTTTGTTTTCCTAATTTTCTTTAACTTTTATTTTTTTTGGCAATTGTATTTTAGTTGTACATTGCTCCAGACAAGACTACATGGCATAATTTACCTTTATTCAAGAGATTGGTATTATTTCTGCATTTCCTATCAATTATCCTATATTATAGTAATTATATATTGCAATAATAAAACTAATAATTGATAATGATGATAATAGGAAAATAATAATAATACAATTAACTATAATGGGATTAATAATAATATTGATATTCTACCGTAAAATACATATATATTTGAATTGCTTAAAAAGTGTTTATTTCTTTAATATTACAGTAAACTTATATGTGAGCTTTTGTAAAAAATAAAATGGTCACATTTTGAATACAGCATGTATTTAAATGAGCATGTCAAAAGAAACATTGCAGTGGGAAAAATGCATGTGCCTTTATTCTCATTTTTAAAAATGTAATGAAGAAGTGCATGTTCAGCCTGTAGGTCAGGGCTTCACCGGCTGCTGTTACGGGACAACTGTGACAGAAAGTCAGGGAGTGGAGAAGCCAGTCGGACGTGTTTCTGAAGCAGGAGGAAACGTGGCGGCGGATTCCACAGTGCCGTCCAGTGCTTTGGACGTTTTGCGTAAAGACACAAAATTGTTTAAAAAAAAAAAAAAGAGATCGAACGAATTTCGTGTGAGAAAACTAGACTATAGCGTGCGTTAGACTGGAGAGAAGGGACTTTGTTTTTATTTCGCTGGGTCTTTCCGGATCAAAGTTAGAAGTCAGCAGGTGCGACACGGGGTTCGGAGGCAGACAGCGGTGTGCGGGACTCACTGACCCCATGGAGGACAGCGCGCAGTCGGACTCTGATGTGGAAAACAAAAGGACGAGCGCTAGAAACGTGTCGGCGGTGGAAGAGCCTTTGGCGGCGTGTGCTGGCCGCTCAGCCGGCTCAGAGGTGCACATTGTTTCCTTCCATTTCTGCTTCTTTTTGTCCCTCGTCCACCTCCCTTTATTCCTATATTTTTCTTTCACTTTTTGCGCTTTGGCCCTGGACCCTTTTAACGCCCTCCCTCCTTTCGCCTCCTCCCTCCCTCCTCACTCCTGATTCGTCAGACGAGGAGTGAATGTCCCTCTTTTTTGTCTCTCTCTCTCTCCCTCTCCGCTGCTCTGATTAGATATACTGATTCCTCCTTTCAATGGACGTCATTTAAGCGCAGACTCCTGCCTTGAGTTGCGTCCTCCGCTTCACGCCTGATTTCCGAACCAGTCTTTTTCCTGCCCTCTTGTTATTATTAAGTATTGCTCTAATATTAATAGTCATGAGTTCATCCGATTAGGAGTCTGAGAGGGAGACGAAGACGCGACACTATAGCTATAATGAGCTGGAGCAAGAGGACGACTGCATTGTGAATCCAGAGGGACCGAGAGAAACTTTTTCAGGCAAAAATCCGAAATACCTGTGTTGTTCAGCGCCAAATGAAGGGCAGTGGGGATTTTACCTACCGTTTCTAATGGATTATCGTCCTGCTGTGGCACGCATCTGATCGCTGGGCCATCGCGATCTTGCAGAAGAAAATAGGCTGCATTTTGTTTTTGTGGGAGATTTCGGCCGTTGTTGCTGTTGGGCATACCCGTGGTCATCCGTCTCCCCTGAAACACGCAGTCGTGTTTTATGAACTTTCCTTACTTTAGACGCACCAAAAATCTGTAAAATGTTAGTGCACAGTTTTTCCGCGATGGTAAGTTTACGAAGCTTTGCACGTACACTCATCTTTGGTTTTATTGCAAACGAATGTGGAGCTGTTGTTTTCTTTAAATAACTTCCAGGGCTCTAAATAATATATGTGTTGCTCTTTTAATTGCAGACAGTGTTGTTTTAATGCATATTTTGTTAAAACATATTTCGTTAAACAAGAAAAATATGTTTGTGTTAAAAAGGAAAAAGAAAAGAAAAAGGTTGTCATTTTCAGTTATGACACTAACGAATCACAATAGTCTATCAACGTTCTGAATAAGATCAGCCTAAATCAGATCTGTAATCTCGGTAGTATTCTCTAACTCATGATTGTCTGTTTTAGGATCGTCATGATGGCACCAGCAATGGGACAGCCAGGCTACCTCAGCTGGGCGGCGTGGGCCAGAGCCCCTACACGAGCGCGCCTCCGCTTTCCCACACTCCTAACTCGGACTTCCAGCCTCCGTACTTCCCTCCACCATACCAGCCTATCTACCCGCAGTCTCAGGACCCGTACTCTCACGTCAACGACCCCTACTCACTCAACTCTCTGCACGCCCAGCAGCAGCAGCACCCGGGCTGGCCCCAGAGGCAGAGCCAGGACAGTGGCCTGCTGCACCAGCACCGCAGCTTACCCCATCAGCTGTGTCGGGAGTACCGCCGGGAGGTGCTGCTGCCCGGACATGGCCTGGACTCGGGGCTGTCGGACTCTATCCCTATCCATGGAATACCTCACTCATTAGAAGACGTTCAGGTGAGAAATCTCCATCTAATTACTAATAAGATAATGCAGCACCAGGATTTTTGGAACTGTGACACTAAAATGTTGCAATCATTCAGATGTGAAATTTAGTTCAGAGATATACAGGGGTTTTTCCCAAATCAAAAGGCTGCATTCACGTTTTTACAATTTCAGGCCTATTCTGTTGTATTTATTTACAATTGTGCATTTTTAACAATTTTTTACGCCGTAATCATTTGACCCTAAACTTAGTAGACATATTAATTTGTAGTGTATTCTAAAACGAATCTACTAAATATTACTGGTTTACTTTACTGTTTTTAATTCGTCTTAATGTCTTCATGCAATAACTCTAAGAAATACAAAATAAACCGGCTTAACCGGACTGAATCGCAGCTGTGTGTTAGTGTGTGTGCTTTTTAATTTTAAACAAATCAAATGTCTTGGTTCCCTGTGTATTTTCTTATTTTGAATTTAGAACAAACAGCAATAATCCTCTAATTAGTTTATAGGGCTTTAATGGGTTACGCTGTCATAATTAGGCCTATACTAATAATCATAGATTGCACATTTCCAAACGCAAACTTAGGTGAGGTTAAAGGATAGCACAGCTATAGTTATTTAAGTCTTTGGCATTTTCTAAACTGTGAATCGATAATAGAAATAATAACAGGTCTGGGTCTCGACAAACGCCGTAGGTTTGGCTGATCGCAGCCGCTAATTGCTGATTCTTTGTTATAGCACCATGTGGAGCGCTCTGTTCCGAGTGAGAAACATTATGAAGCTTTGTGCTAAAATTGTCCATTTTGTGTCACAGTCTGTTGAGGATCAAGGAATCCACATTCCCGACCAGACTGTAATTAAAAAAGGTAAGCAATTTCCTCTGAGATATCATGCATTTAGCTACACACGCACGCATGCACACGCACACGCACACACACATACACACCGTGTACCATTCTGCTCCAGAGAGCTCGATGCATTGCGGCAATGCCTGACTGATCCTAATACGCAGTAGCCTATTTTTCATTACATGCTTTCCAAGTGCATCAAACGGGCTGCAACCCTTTTCCCTCGCGATGATGGAATTTACTGAGAGCGTTTGAAAGCAGCGGGGAGACGGCTGAAGCTGGTGGATTTTGTAGTATAGACCCGTGGTGGTGATGATTAAAGATATAGGCCTAAATAGGGACATAATATGCAGCTTCCCTGTGAAGCAGTCGGGCTGTAAAATGGAAGCTGGTGGCACAGGCCTGAGCTGCCTGATGGTGGCTTTAACGGAGGGTACAGTGCTCTTCAGTTATGTGGGTTATTAGAGCAGAATAGGATTATTTAGTGGGTCCACTGTTTACGATTATTTCTCTCTTTAATGGTGTTATATATTTTTGTTTCATTTTTACTCCTTTCCACTATTTTTGAATAATAATTGCATGGGCAAATCCGTTTGATAATTGCCTTCTTATATTAGTAATCTCCAGAGTTCGTTTAACTCCTATTGTCTCTATTAGGCTCCCTTGAGCCATTAATGTCACAAGTGATCTATCCAACGGCGCGCGGTCGCCTTTGTCTCCGGTTACTGCACTCACACCAAAAACCGTGTAAACCCAGTTGTGCCTGAGCCCCCTCCCGGCTTGAAATTTCACCCGCTGTTTTGCTTGTTCGCAGAAGTCAAACTAGGAATGCATTTGTTACAAACATTCAAAATATTGATAATAATTATAAGCCTAAATGCTTCAATCTAAGTTATTCATATTACCATAATTATTATTGTTATTATCATTATTATTATTGATATTATTATTGTTATTATTATTATTACTATACTATCATTATTATTATTATTACTATTGTTATTTTTTATCATTATTATCATCATTACTATTATTATGTTTCTTATTTCTATTATTGCTGCTGCTATATTTTCTGTGCATCATTTTGCCATTGGACCCATTGGCGCTGAACTCTTAAATCCAGGGCCTTAATCCCCTTTCTCATTTAGTTAAGGTTCCGCATTGCATGAAATTCACTGAGCACGGCCTCTCTCCTCTGACTGCCTTCTCCATCTCTTTGCTGACCTCTTTTCCCTCCTCTTCCACAACAGGTCCAGTGTCCTTATCCAAGAACAACAACGTGTCCATCCCCGTCAATAAGGATGGTCTTTTCGGCGGGGTAGTAAACCCAAATGAGGTCTTCTGCTCGGTTCCGGGTCGCCTGTCTCTGCTCAGCTCCACATCAAAGTACAAGGTCACGGTGGCCGAAGTGCAGAGACGCCTCTCGCCGCCTGAGTGCCTGAACGCCTCACTGCTGGGCGGGGTGCTGAGGAGGTGAGTGTCCATGTCACAATCCACGTTTATATAGAACACTCCATTCTTAGTCAGCCTGCTCCCCCCCTCCTTTCTCTGCTCGGTACCAAGAATAATTAAAATCGACCAACCATGACACCCAGCTCCTGCATTTAAAGCAGAAGGGGTCTGTTAAATTCCATATTAACTTCCCTCTCCCTATCTCAAATGAATGTAGGCCTAGTCGGTTTCAAAGCCAGCTCTATAGGCCCAGTGAAGGCATTACGCGTGAAAACATTGGTCTCCAGCGAACAGTCCTGTGAAGTGCTGCACAGACAAACCCGCCTGTAGTGCTGCTTATTAAGTAGGCTTTTATTTATTCATTTTCTACTAGTTGCCTGGCACTCTCTGCTTCAGCTGTATTTATAGGCGAATGTGCATCAAACAGACGTCATTCATGTTGTGATCATCTGAATGTTGCAATAGCTACATCTGTGAATAGACATTTCAGTGTTCAGGATGTATGTATACGATGCTTCGTGATTTAAAAGCACATATTATTGTTTCTTTGTTATACGCGGTGTGAATCTCTTACTGATTTGATGACAGATTTGATTCAGTAAAAAGCCTATCCTCTCATATCTCTTTGTCCACATTGAGCTGCAGGTAAACATACCTCCACGCAAACGCTACAATGTCTCTCTGCTTTGTCTCGTCTGCAGGGCCAAGTCTAAAAATGGAGGCAGGTCCTTGAGGGAAAAGCTGGACAAAATCGGCTTGAATCTACCTGCGGGCAGACGCAAGGCGGCCAACGTCACTCTACTGACGTCACTCGTAGAAGGTGAGTTAAATCTCGCGTTCACTGTCGTTGTTCTCGCGGTACATGATGAGAGTCCCTCTTCTCTCGCTCCCTCACTCGCTTTTCTGTGTTGGAAATCAGCATATGCGCTCACCCGTGTAATGTGGACCGACTTTGCCTCGCAAGTAATAAAGCATGAAGGATGTGTGTGAGACACATACAGAGATAGAGATAGAGCCAGAGCAGAGCCGAGCTGCGCAGGAGAGAGAGCTGCTCATGGCTCTGCAGCGTTTGGCCTTATATGAGGAGCGCAGGTCTACGCCTGGCCTAGTTTACCCACTGGATGAATATGTGTTGAAGTCCGGTTAATTATTGCTTGTTTATTAGGCACCACTGAGTCGCCTCACCTCGTGGAAGAAAACTCGATTGATTTGTTAAGCCTGCATTGTTTCACCCATTAATACAGTCTGCATATGGGGGCAGGGGCTGGAGTGTAATTGGATTAATTCTTTCGTTAATAGCTCACTGCTTAGACTTTTACTGAATATATGTTTTGTTGCATGCAGATTGCATGGCACTGACCTATTGGGAGCTATATGTTTCGAGTCTAATAAAGAATAAATTAGACAATTACAGTGTACTGAAAAGATGCCTTTTCGCGACTGGATAAATCCATTTGGAGTTGAACTGATTAGCCATTCAGTGCAGTGGTATTTGGTGTGCTGTGGGTTTCCAAAGGTGAAAGCACGCGCTGGTTCATTGGTCCTTGTTAATCATTATTGCAAGAGGACAAAATGCAATATTCATTGAGCTTCGTAGAAATTTGGTGGTGTATTGTAATGAGCCTGCAGAAATGTATGTTGAATGTAGGTAATAAGAGGTGGTGGCACGTGGGGGCGGCTGCGCGCGTGCACGTGCGTGCTTGTTAGGGCAGCTGCTTAGTGAAGGGACAGTGCGTTTGGAAGACTGTCCTTGTTTATGATGCACTCCTTTTTATGGAAACACTTTACTGGACTTAAGCTTTGATGCTAATTGGCGCATGCGTTGTTCCGGGCGCAGGCTCAGGGCAGGACCCCGCAGTAAAAACTAAACTGCTTCAGGAAATGAAAACCAAAGACTAGAATTTTAGCAACAAGAAGGGGACGGTGTACTACGTAAATCTGGTGTTGTGTCTCTCAAAAATATGCAGCATATCTAGTCACTGAGTGGATCCTGTGTAGGCCTACTCAAATGGGCCATCCATATTTAGGCGCGTTATTGCTGTTCGACCGCTCTAGCGATCAGATCAGATCCATCATGTGACCAAAGCACCAGTGAATAATCATCAATTCCTTTCTCCATTTCCTAGGCGAAGCCGTGCATCTCGCAAGAGACTTTGGTTATGTCTGTGAGACCGAGTTTCCAGCCAAGGCAGTAGCTGAATATGTAAACCGTCAGCATTCCGATCCAAATGAACAAGTCCAAAGAAAAAACATGCTATTGGCTACAAAGTAAGTTCTGTCATTAGAATCCACACTGTCACATCACATTCACCAATGTTTTCATTAAGTTCCTTATTATTACCCAAAGCTTGTGCGCATAAGACAACGGTCATTCCGTGTTTTTAGATGCGTTTAGACATTATGCCTTCACATCTCGTGGCAGATTTTATTTTCTTCCGGCTGCAATTAGTTTGGGCTGTGATTTCAGTGCCACTGACATATAGCTGGTTCTCTTCCAACGCTCCCATTGGTTCTTTTTTACTGCGCGTCAAAGTGAAACACGGAATTCCTCACACACAGGCGCAAGTGCAGGCAGGCCTGTTCATGATGGCACCACATTTGATCAAACACTCTGTGGTCATGGCAACTAAGTAATCACGAAATACTCTGCGTGCATTTATTGGTGCAATTTATGTCCGTGGTATTTTTGCAGTAAAGCCTTGAATGGGACAGCCAATATTAAAACACCCACCCGTGCCGTAAGGCTCTTTCATAGGCCTATACATATGCATGAGCTGACAGAATATATTTGACTGTAGGCATGTGTGTTGCTAAAAAGGTTGATGCTGCTTTGTTAACACGCGCTTCTCTGTGCCTGCAGGCAAGTGTGCAAAGAGTTCACAGACCTGTTGTCCCAGGACCGCTCGCCTCTGGGAAACTCACGGCCGCAGCCGATCCTCGAGCCCGGAATCCAGAGCTGTTTGACCCACTTCAGCCTCATCTCTCACGGTTTTGGCACGCCAGCCTTGTGTGCGGCAGTCACAGCGCTGCAGAACTATCTTACCGAGGCAATCAAAGCCATGGACAAAATGTACCTCAACAACAATCCCAACAGTCACTCAGATAACGGCACTAAAGGCGGAGACAAAGACGAGAAGCACAGAAAGTGACGCTACCAGCTGCAGGGCCCACCTTTTCACCTGCTCACGTTCCCCTTCACCCACGACCATCTGATATAAATATTATAAATACCATATAAATACTATTGATAACGTTGACCGTGCCACTCCCATGCAAGCCCGTTTTGCATCGTTCCTTTTTACGCACCACTTTGGAGTCATCAAAGAAGGCCATCCACTTTCACTTCTTATGAAAAAAAATAAAACAAAGAACTCTGCAAAATAAGGAACAGCTCCAGGAAGGAAAACGTGTTTGTTGTTGTTGCCTCAGACCGAGAGAACTTTTTTTGATACTCTCCCCTCTCTTTATTTTTATGAGCTATACAAAAGACTGAAATCCTGCGAGCCCATTTACTTCTGAATTTGCTGATTATGACAAGAACTCTCAACGCAAGAAAAAAATCACGGATGAATTATTATCAGTATTGTGAATATGAACTTTCCAACAGATCTCCATCAGTTCTCCTCCAAGTGACCAACATGAACTTTTTTTGAATTTCAACACGATTCGCGGTTATATAAGGGAATCAGTGTTCATGTATGTATATATTTATTTATGTGTAATTTAATGGGAATTGTAAATATGGTGCGTTTGTTCTTTTTTATTTATCTGGTGCCTCCTTGTTTTAGTGGGTTTTGACTTTTTAGTTTTTCATGTGATTTTATGGTTCTTAGAAAAGCTGAAGTTTTTGGGGTATTTTTTATTTTATTTTATTTCTCTGGGATATATTTCAATTCAGCCCTCTTGTAGCATGCTGAGGCGACATTGAAGCAAAGTGAACAAATTGACCAGAAATAAAACTTCAATTTCACACTTATCTCTCTCTCTATATATCATCCAGTCCATTTGAAACAGCGACTCATAGGATTTCATTTCTTTTCACAAACGCTTCTGTGTTTTGCCAATCAGATTTCACCTCTTGTTCTCTCCTTCAAAGCACCATAAAAGCAATAAATGGTTGTCTTTTTTTTAAATGTTCAATTCAAAAGAAACACGTTTTCATGGGACCACCTGATATTTTGTCCTGTCCGAAAGTGTCCACAAATTGGAGGCGGTTTTAGCTGTATTGTATAGACAAATGTGCTGGCAATAGTTCCCATGCCTGTCAATGTATAATAGTCCTTTGTTGCCCAGAAAAAAATAAATATTTGATACGCTTCATCTCGATTTTATTCACGTATTTTTCATTTTATTTTGTTTTTCGTCAACTTTTTTTGCTTGGATTTTTCCTATATCCTCAGCTGTTGCAGTAATTGGGGTTAAGTCTCCCTTGACAATATCTCCTTGTAATAAGCAGCTGAACTCCTACTTTCCCTCAAGATGAATAAAACAAAATCTGACTTTATAAACTCCCTGTATATTAGTTGAGAGCGCGCATGAGGATCCAATGCAGGCCAAATAGCTCCCAACAATGGCTACAAAAAAAATATATACGTGTTTGAAGTGCGTCAGCGTCACCCCTGCAGCTATAACCTCGCGAGATGTATGGGGCCTGGTGCGTAATGTTTGCTTGTTATGGACTGAATTTGGATCCTTATTCAAAGACACACATCAAATATTTGTGATGTTGTTTTCCTCTCTGTTTAATCAATGGGCGACAGTCTCTCACGCTGTGCTGGATATATGTATAATCCAAGTGATATGATATAGACTTTTGAACGAATATTACAAATGGTGCTCTTTGTCTGGCCTGGGCAAAAAGAAATGACATCTGGCCTTTTCTTTGGTCTATTCAGCCAAGCGCATGCCTACGTAAAATTGCGCTATTGGTGGTCTGTATATACATCAATCTGAATTAGTCAGTTCTGATGCATGACACATTATGGCACTTTATTGTTTCTTCTCGTTTGCCTCATTTCACAGTAAAATTGTTTTCACACAACATCCTATATCCTGCATGCTTATCGCTCAGAATCTCAGCAGCCATATTTATTATTATCATTTTTCTGGCTTTAATTCTGAGCCACTTGTGTTGTGTTTTCTCCCGCGGGAGGTTGGGTGAATGAAGCCTAACTGTACATGTCCTTGGCATAATTGCGATGCACAGTGCTAGAGCAGGTGAAGCGAGGCATTGTCTGTCAGGCCCCTGTTTTTGTTGGCTCTAGTCCTCAGATTGTGTGTGGGATCCTGTCCTCGGGCACAATAGCTCACTTATAAAGGGAGAGACCGGCTCTGTTTGTATGCGAGCTGGATGAGGAAAGGCCATATAAATAGTCCAAACAATCGTATTAAAACTGGATTCAAAGGGAAGCTCCTCACGTGTGTCATTAATGCTAATTTCGTTAAATAAATGTATCAGAGAGTTGCTTGAAATGCATTCTGGGAGTGAAACGAACGCATTAGAAATAGGGTTGTTGTGTGACAATAGTGAATATGGTGCATAACAGGCGAAACGATGGGGAATAGAAATGGAGATGATATTCCGTTTTTTGTCTGTACACAATCCAGCTAAAAACAATATTACTGTAACTGACTTTGAAATAATTGTGAACTTAAAAAAAACCCCTTAAATTAAGCATTGGATATTGAAACGCTTGGCTGTAATTATGAGCTGATTCACGTACCCTATACATTTAGATACACGATTTTTATAGCCTATAATATGTTTCAAATATTTATTAAGACTATATTATTATTATTATTGTTGTTTTGGTTTTCATTTTATGTTATTATTATTATCATTACTATTATTATTATTATTATTTTCATCATAACCCTTATTATTATTCGTTTTATTATTATATTTGTATTATTATATTTATTATTATTCTGTTAAATAACTGCTATGAGTGCCATTTTTTTTAAGCATAACCCGCATGCGCTTTCCCCCCCAACACGTGTGCGTCATGTTTGTGGTCACACGAGGTTTGGGTGATATGTCCTGGTGAAAGCAGTCTGTGGCCTAATTAGCCCATATAACACCATCACACACAGCAGTGCAGAGGCTTGTTGTCTGACATGAGATGCTAGCAGCAGGACAGGCACTGATTGGGTGACACTGTTGCCATAAATTGCAACTAAACAAACACAAATATTGGACTGTTCTGAAGTGATGCTATTGGTTTATTAGGTTTATTATTTGATTGCTATTTTTTTTCAATCATGATTTTTGTTTCTCCACTTTGGACACTTCTGTAACACTGTGATATTGACTGACGTGCACAGGTTTCGTAAAATGGCATTATGGTTTTTAGCGCTGTTGAATTATGGACCCTAAAGTTTTCAGTCAAGCGCAAAATGGCTAATTGTCCTCAACTCTGACTTCAGCTGTCAATTGGGGCTTTCTGTGTCTTGGCCCCCGCCCATGCCCTGACCCTATACGGGCCCCCTGCACTCTGCAAGTCGGAGCTCAGAAGCCAAGAGAGGTCAAATACTCCGCCAAATCGCCCTGATTACTTGAGACATTAGGTAATCGATTAGAAAACATTAAGCGACTTTGCATAAACAATAAGGTCTGATCCGCGCTGCAACTTTGGCCATATCCATTTCTTTTGGAGGAAACAGGCCAAGTTTTCGGTATTTGATAGAAAATGCCCATATATAAAGTAGAAATAACTTGACATATTTTATTAATCAAAATACAGCATATACAGAGGTTTACATTATTATTATTATTTTTGTAACAATATTCTCAACAACATAACAGGGGTTGGGCCCAAGAATTTGACTAAGAAGTTTCGTTCAGAGGCATGTCCCAGGACTGCTGCAGGAGGAAAGTTTTTGTTTTGTTTTGTATTTATATTGTATTGTATATTTATTTATTTTGCGTATTTAGAATTGATGCAGCTCTCTTCAACACTGCAAAGTAGTCATCCCGTCTCTCGTCTCTGCATCTCTGCCGTCAGCCGGGGGAGCATCGCCCCGGGCCAAACATATGCTTCTTTCCATTGCACTAATCCAAATGCAGCGTGGAGGAATAATTGCTCGAGTGGCCGTGGCTTCGCGCAGGCTTTGTCCCTCACTGCCTCCCGTCAGCCAGGCACACGCCATTTCAATCAAGTCCCTTTTCTGTATCAAACTCGAGACCTTTTATCAAAGCAGAGCCCCTCGCTTCATAAGCACACAGCAACATCCTTTAAAATGTCTTTTCTCTTCTGCATTCCCCCTGGTGCGGTGCTGCTCGCTGTCAGACTCTCATCTCTGCAGAGCTGCTTCATTAATATTGACACTCGCCTGTGACTTTGGCGAGATTTATTATTGGCAGGACGGTGGCGTGAGCACTGACTCAAATTAACTGCCTTTTCCTGTAATCTTTGGCTGAGATATTGCACTATACAACTATTGTAAATAATAATACACACATTATTAGTATACAACTTATGATGAATTCATCATAAGTTGTATACTAATAATATATATATATAATACTTGTTGTTGTTGTTATTAATAACAACAACAATAACAACAACAATAATAAAAACAATGATTAGCAATTGTGCTCACAAGCTATAACCATATTGGCCAATTAGTTAGTTAGTTAGTCTAATCAAAAGTTGGTACAAGTGTTTCAGCCAACATCCTTGGATTTTATATATTTATCAAATATAAACAGATGAGGAAAAATCACTTGTAAAAAGCAGCATAAGAAATGACATATATTTCTGGATAAGGAATGAAGCGGAGTGGGTGTGGGCACGTGGGGGTGGGGGCAGCAGAACCATGGATGTCTGACTGAATTAATAGACATGATAATTTCACACTATTTCATAGTGAGCTATCTGTTCCATCACAGCAAAATAAAAGGGTCACTGCGCAGCTGTGGCAAACCCCAAGCGTTATTATGAAGTTTGATGATAGACCCCCCCTCTCTCTTTTCTATGCTTTTTTCTCCCTGCTCTCTGGTACTTCGCTCGAGGCCAGCAATAGCTCCGGGCCACGCCGGTGCCTCCCCATGATAAAGGACTTAGACTGTGTCTGTGCGCAAAGAAAGCGCAGCAGCTTCTCTCCCGAACCTAATCAACTCATGGCTTGGCCCTAACGATTGGTACACTGCCCCTCCCATCCGCATTCATTTTACCCTCTGCTCTCTACAAGCAGGACTTTCGAACGGCGAAAGTCAGACCATAATAATATTATTTACAGTAATAATAATAATAAAGATAATAATAATAATAAAAATAATAATGATAATAATAATACAAATATTGTAATAATAATACTGATGAAGCTAACATGTTTGTTTCACAATAGTTGAGGGTTGGAGACATCTGTCCTCTTCAGAGGTCACTTCAGAACATGTGACCAGTGTAAAAGTGACTCATTATATTGTCTTTAATCTGTGTAAAACTCTAAACAATTGTTTGTTCTGAGGTTTCACATATGACTAAGTAAAAGTGCCATTGTGCTCATAATATTTATTCTTTTGATGCTTGTCATTCACCAAACCTGCAGACAAATAATACAGGGTACACCAGACCAATAAATGCAATAAAAAGTCGTGCGAAAGTAGCTGATAATGTCAGTAGATGCAGTGAAAGCTGATAATGACACTAAACAGCAGCATTAGGTGAGTGTGGGGCTGAAGGCGCTGTTTGGGCTCTGGCCTCTGAGACGGTGAAGCACTGGTTTGATCTCACCACAGGCTAAACACTGCCAACAGGACTTGACATTGCAGAACAATTTCCCCATTACCTTTTGACATGCATATTGACACAAATGCACAAAACTGTAATTTTCTCTCTGAATTTGTTAGCTTGAGGGCCTCACTTTCATGCAGTGGATTGTCAGATGTTCTGCTCCCTCACTTATCCTCTCTCTCTGTGCTCTGTGAGTGTCCAGAACAAATGGGAACATGGTGAACTGGTGTTAAAAAGCAAAAGGCCACTTGGATAATATTCATTTACATCAACCTGATCATTTCAGGTTCACAATGGCACCTTGAACAATTATAAAATACACTTAACCAACTTTCCCTTTACTCAAATTATCTATTTGGAACCGAGCATTTGTCTAATGGTGATTTTGAGCATTAAACACACACAAAAGCAGGTGTATATAGGCCATAAAAATGACAAGAATAACAACAATTAAAATCCAAATAATATTCTAACTAGGACAATGTTTTTATATATATTCTTGTAAAGTGTAGGCAAGCTCTGATTTAAACTTTGAGGACATCTGATTTTCTCTTTCACATGTTAGCGACAAGAGACACAAACACAACTTGATGTTTTTCTACAACCTTCATTGTGTGATTCAATGTTGTGCCAAAAACCTCAATCTCCATCACCCAACTTTGTGATTGTTGTAAACATGTTGTCTCTTATTGTCAGGGAAAAGCCATAATCAGTGGAATGTCCAGTGTGACGTGCAGAGGACAGAGGAGCAGGCTGCGTGTCATTGTCGGCCTGTCATTGGGTTTGATTGACATATGTTACGGCGGATTATGGAGCTGGTGTGTGATGGAGGAGCGACCTGGGACTGCAGAGGAACCCTCCAAAAGTGGGTCAGACTCAGTGATGGAGCCTGCAGCACTGCCCAGGATGTGTCCCAGGACGGGGGACTTCTGCTGGAGAGGAGGCTGCAGCCCGAGGCCTTTAGGACCAAGGCCAACACTCAAGACAATACATAAGAGCCATGCACATTCAAATCTGGGGTTACACATGCTCCTCCATGTCAGAGCTTGGATAATTACCAAAAACATTGAAGAGGTGGAAAGAAGTCTTCTGTTATTGCATTAGTGCAACAATATGTTTTCAAATATATATTATCTGAGGCGCTGCAGAATAGGAAAACAAATCAGAGAACACAAAAACATGCTTTACACGTGCTTCATCATAATCTTCATGGATTGTTGCACACAGGGTTCACTTTGTAGACACATAAAATTAAAACATGTTTTTCTATTAACAACAAAAATGCACTATTCAAACTTTAAGAATCACCAAACACCTCCAAAGTTGGGCAGTGTTTGTATTCAGTCCTTTATTCCTTGGGCCCGATGGCTGTCGCCTCTCCAAGGAGATCGAAGTGAGTTTGCATGTTCTCCCCTTGTGTGTGTATGTTTCCTCCTGGTGCTCCAGTTTCCCCAACCATTTTTGTGGTATATTCAATAGGCTCCTTCCCTCTGAGGCCTGGACTCCCTTGAAAGAGAATTTCTCAGTGGGAAATGAATAAAGGTTATTAAAAAAAAACATTACATAAAGTGTCAAATCATAAGTTAAATAATATATGTATACAAAATTAAGAGAAATGTATTTATTACGTCAAAAATAATCTAAAATTACAGTCAAATAAAAGTAAAGAAGACAAAATTAAACACATTTGTAAATAGGAAGATTGATTATATGTGATTTGCTAAAACAAACAAATCAAAACAGATCATTTAACAATAGAAATAAAGCCACAACATGACCCTGAACTGAAGCCAATACAATCTCTGAAACCCATTGTAGCAACTCTCCCATCATCCTCCAGCAAGTCTCTCCATCCAGACAAAGAAAAGTTATTACAAACCTCTCCATGTAACTTGAATAAATGAATCATTTTCCTAACCCCTGTTCTGAAGAAGTTGCAAAGCAGATGCAAATGAGAAAAAATGTAAATGCCTCCTATGTGAATTCACTATGGGTAGCGTCTTTATCTTTCTTCCTCGCCCTTGCGTTCGTAGTGTGCAGCCCAAATGAGTGCCGTCTTCTTTCAGTAGTCACCTAAATTAAAGCAGCCACAACTAAGGGCTGGGGCTGAACGCCAGGGCTTTGCAGTGGCAGCTCCGTGTTTAACACAAGTTCCATTAAAACGAGCCCATTACTACTACTGAGGGAAACGACGCCCGGGGCTTCACTAAAGTGTTGCGAAAACCTCATTGATAATTAAATGTTGGTTACCCCCGGTATGCATAGCTCTCGCTTCTTGCTTACCAATCAAACCTCCACCCACCACCAGTGCCACTCGCCCCCTGTCTGCTCCTCACTGTTTATCAAGGAATCATACAGTCTCCTAATAGGTGCCAATTAAACGCAATGGGGGGCGCGTAGGTTAATTATTCCCCACACATTATTTGATTGTATTTAGAGTGATACATCGCCAAGGAAAGATGGTGACAAGGTTAACAGTAGATAACACCTTTTACTTGATTAGTAACACTTTTTGTCCAATCGTTGTCCCCTGGAGGATATTGTATGACATCAACTAAAATGGTCAGGCAAAAGCTGAGGCAGATGAGAGATTTTTTCTGGGCTGTGAGTTTTCAAACTGGAGATGGAGATTTTCTTTGCTTTTTCATTGCTTTTCCACATTTTGCGTGTGTCCACTTTGCCACTGTGGGTTCGATTCTGGGTCTCGTTCATTCTCTCCTCTCTCCGCCAAGTCCTGTTCAGAAGAGATTGACTGATTAAGGTTCATTGGGGCTTTTTAAATAGCTGTTTTGAAAGGATGCAAATAAACACGTGAGAGGGACTAATGCTAATGCGCTAGTTAGCAATTCATTTTTTTAATGGCTTTTTTTATAATGCCTGTGCGGATATTGAAGGGAATAGGTTTATTTTTGAAAAAGTGTAGGAGAGGAACATGAAATGATGAAAAATATCGTTTCTGACATGGCACTGACTTGTATATTCTTCAACATTAATAAAAATCAGTCTTTCCCGTTGGCCAGTAAAGATTTGCTGGAGGAGAACAGTTAGACCAATCACAAGGAGTCTCATTAATTTTGACCAATCCGGAAGCTGCAGAGGTGTTTAAAAACTGACATTCACTTAAGGCCAAGAGACAATACTCCATGACTGAATGATTTTCAAAACCTTGAGATTAATTTTACACTTTCCTTTACTTTCCTTTACTTATAAGTGCCTAGACTGAGGTTCACTTGTTTGCAGCAGAAAATGTATTCGGCCTTTCCAAGGGTTTGTTATTTCTGAATATAGTATGAGAAAATACAGCCAAGGTGAGTTGTTAATAATTCCTATTGTTGAATAATGTTATGAACGCAATAAAAAGTTACCTCTGATGGATTCTTTGTGAAAAAAACGCAGGGCAATGGAAAAATCATTACGTTCTTTTCTTTCAAGTGCAGCATTGAGCGCATCAGCATCAATACTACAATAATAATGTGCATTCTCATTGGAACATTAAAAGAAAGTAAAGAGCGGTAGGTATCTGATTTATTCTTGTACAAATAGATAATTATCATTACGCCTATGCGCTCAGTCACATTGCAGTCGAGCAAAGACATAAAAGTAAGTTTGTGGATGACGCCTTTGACAGTTTGCTAATGGATCGCTGTGGGCCCATCTGTTTCACTGCAAATAGCGCAATGGCTGGGGTTCGGGAAGACTGCTACCACTGTCACTGTAAACAATAATTGTCAAACATATTTACCCCACAATCGCTTTAGCAGATGTTACGCTTTTTGTTTCAAGCCGCTTTTTGTTGTGCGTTGTATCTCGCCTCTGCAGACACAGCACTCTTGCCCTCCCCATCACCAGCACGGCTACACCCCCCCAACCGGAATACTGAGCAGGTATTTGAGAAAGGTGCTCCAGGGCACAGAGTGTTGGGGATTGGGCTGCTATAGGATGGGGTGGGGTTGAGGGAGGGGGTGCAGCAGGCAGGAGTCTAGGAGATTATCTGGGCCCTTCATCAGTAGCGCAGCCCTCCACCCTATATACACACACCCTGTCTCCAGCTTCTGCCCAGCTCCGACGCCTCGGGGTTCGGGCGGAGGCGGGACCCAGGAGTGCCTCGGAGCCATGCAACCTCTTTATCACTCTAATCTGTTAATTGTAGGCGCTCAATTGGCACATGGTGGCTTTTTATTTGAGCCTACCGACATTAACTAGACTGAGAATGTGTGAAAAGCCCTCTCTGCTCTGCTTTGGCCCTAATGGCAGCTTTTTGTAGTGTCAAATGGACCAGATCTGGATCAGATATTTACTCGCTGCTGCAGATATACTTTTTTCTTTAACATTTTGTGTGTGTGTATTTGTGTGTGTTTTATGTTGTGTTGAATGAGGGGTTGGAGCCAAACTGTGGACTGGTCATGTTGTGTCCTGCTTATTTTACTATTATTAGACTAAATAAAATTCTCTTATCAATATAATGAATAAAGAAATGATACATTCTATGACAATGTAACACAGGCTGATGTATGAATGTTGAATGTGAAAGATTTTTTTTAGGAAATGTTGTTTCAATCTGAGCTCACCTAAATGTATGTCTTACAGGTATTATGGAATAAAATTTTGATAACCAAATATGCAAATATAATTTAACCAAAAACCAACCGTCTGGTTAAAAGATGTATTTCTTTAAGATAAGAAAAAAAAGATAGAAAGATATACTTTATTGATCTCACACAGGAGAAATTTACAAATATAATTACAAATGTTATTGTTCATGTTTGCCATTCTCCTCTACCACAAAGACATGGAAATGTATCATTGATTATGCTAACGCCCCAAAGGCCCTCCTCCTGACTATGCATTGCTTTATAGACACACACAAAAATATTCCTGATTTTCCATGACTTTTAAAGCATCCTAGTCATTTACCACAGTGTTAAGCACACAGACTTTCAGAGCTCAGAGTGAGTTGTGTCGAACCCAATAAGCTAAAACCATAATGACATTATAGCAGCACACTTCTAGCCTCTCAGAGATGAAAACACCTGTCCTAGAGGATAATATTAGACAGGTACAGTGTTCTTCTGTGGGACATGGGTACAGTGTTCTTCTGTGGGACATGGGTACAGTGTTCTTCTGTGGGACAGGTACAGTGTTCTTCTGTGGGACATGGGTACAGTGTTCTTCTGTGGGACAGGTACAGTGTTCTTCTGTGGGACAGGTACAGTATTCTTCTGTGGGACAGGTACAGTGTTCTTCTGTGGGACAGGTACAGTATTCTTCTGTGGGACAGGTACAGTGTTCTTCTGTGGGACATGGGTACAGTGTTCTTCTGTGGGACATGGGTACAGTGTTCTTCTGTGGGACAGGTACAGTGTTCTTCTGTGGGACATGGGTACAGTGTTCTTCTGTGGGACAGGTACAGTGTTCTTCTGTGGGACATGGGTACAGTGTTCTTCTGTGGGACAGGTACAGTATTCTTCTGTGGGACAGGTACAGTGTCCTGTTGAGGTGCAGGGTTGAGGGGAGTGAGACCGGGGGAACAGGGGGGCTATTACCTCTGTCCCGTCTCAACTTGTCTGCAGCTTCTTCCCTTTTTGTTCTTCAGCAACAATCTCTTGCCTCCTCCCTTTCTTCAGCACTATTTTGGGTTGTCTTTGAGATGGATGGGACCTTTAGAAAGCATTTTAAGAACATTACACTCTTTGATCAATAGTGGTTAAAATCATTTATTAAAACTATTCTCTGGGTTGGAATTTTGGGTTTAAATCCTTTAGGCGCCACACATAGTTTTTTAAGAAATTAGATTTTGAAACAGACAAAAAATGGAACACTGAAACTTCTTGTATCGATAGATAACCACTAAAATCAAAATTAGATAAAAGAAAAAGTGTAAGAAAATGTTCAGGTGACATTTTGTGGGAAGCTAGAGTTGCTATATAGAAAGTGTCCTGATTCTTTAATATATTAATAATTATAACAGCGACACATTTAGGGAGCTCAGAGGTTCCAAGGTTTTCCCTGCACCTCCCCACAAAGAAATGCAGTTGGTGACAGAACAATGAAGTATGCGATTTATGAGTCCCCATTAACCACTGCTGCGTTCAGGCCTCACACTCCAACAGGTGTTTTACGAGTCCGCCCCCACACGACAGGTCCTGCACCCAGCCTCCATTCACAAATCGGACACTGCATCACATGATTGAATTTGGACTAAAATAAAGTTGTGGCTCAATACCCCATGTGTCTGTTTTCGCTTGTGTCGAATTTGCGCATTAACAGTGGCAAAGCTGAAGCCAGATAACAAATTAGGAGTAGATTACATTAATTTGATGTGAGGAAAGAGATTCAATGATTTCTTTGTCTGCGGGGAAGCAGTGTATTGACAAACCCAGAGATTGGTGCTTATTTTTCTCACTCCAGATCTCCAACTTTGCAAAAAGATGCATTCCTCTGATTGTTCTCTTCAGATGATTTAGCTGCAGCCGGGTCACAAGAACTTCATGTGGCCGACTATAGTGAACATTCTGATCCAAACCCTGATACATCTCTGCCACCAAAGAACATTATTAAAATTATAAAATTATTCAGAACTCCACAAATTCATACATGTTTGTGAGGAATTATGTATTTGCGATTTCATTTTGTATGTTGCAAACCTATAAGAAAGAGCCCTGTGAGTCACTATTGGATGATTTGGGCTGATTGAGGTCGTCGTTATTTTTGTTGTCATTTGGAATAGGTTTGAAATAGGTCCAGTAGGTGATTGACAGGCACTTTTCAAATTGCAAAGAGAAAGAACATGTGAAAGTCACGTAAAATTCTTGATTGACAGCTGAGCCCCTTCCCCCATTGGCTTAATTAGTACTTTTGGTATGCTAAAGGAGGAACTCTGCTAAAAATATGACAACATTTTAGTTAACAACTTTAAAATAAAGAACTTGAATCAAAAATATACAGTATTTTGCAGCCAGAAATAGTTGCTAAACAAAGTTAGCAAAATAGGCTAAGGCTCACTTCAGTCTTGTGCTCTATTCGAATGTTTAAAGTTTTAGATGCGTACAGTGTCTTTGCACAAATTTCGAATATGGCGATAGATTAGGAGTCAATTATTTCTACTTACTGTGAGACGGTGTTGACCTGTGGAAAAAGGCCACTTCTGGTTTTCTCTAATTGGTTATTGAGCTGTTGAATCAAATGTGACCAAACATGGGTCATGGGGGCAGATATCTAGACCTTCACGCATTTGATAAAAAAATAATATTACTGTAAAATCTAGTCAGGTAACAGATTAATATGGCTAGGCATTCTGAACGTCAACAAATCTGCAATTTGGGGAATAATATCCTGAATTTTCACAAATAATTAATCTTTTATAAAATTCCTATGAATGATGGAAAAGTCACACAAAAGCCACATGTAACATCCTGGTTATCATCTGAAAGTGACTGATAGCTGATCCAGAGGTCTGACTGTCTGAACATCACATCAGGGTTCCTATAAAGTAATATGATTAGTGAGGGCTGTGTTCTCCCTGGGAAAGCGGAGAAAGGATGTGAAGAGTTTCCTGAATGGATACGTTTTCAGTTTAGGACTGAAGCCTCTGCCATCCTGCGTGCAGTGAAACTAATCTAATTGACTTTGTGGAATGTAAGAGCGCCAATGCAGACAAGGTGTGAGACCATGACCGGTAAACAAGAGCCCTCCAAACCACGAATTGTTTTAAACTTCATATGCACATTTGAAGAAAAAAAATAATTTAAACAATAGGATTTTAGGCTGTAATAAACATAGAGAATGGTAGAAATGTAATCTTTTCAAATATGTGCCTGTAGATAGATAGACACTTTATTCATCCCGGTCGGAGGAATTCAGGTGTCCAGTAACAGCAAAAATAAAAAATAAAATTGATCATTCAAAAAAGCTAACAATAGTATTAATCAGCAACAGTCCTTAAGGTCACAGCAGCAGAGGTGGAGTAGCCAATCTTGCATTTGTTGAAAAAAGAAGCTCTTTGGACTGAATATTTGCACACCTGGAAGTTTTAGTATTAGCTATAACAAAAATCAGATTTTTGCAAACAATATGACAAAATCCATCTGTGTAAAAGAGCCAACCGTAGAGTTAGTTTGTCCAAACAACAGACACACAACCAGAGTCACGTGACCTAACAAAGACCGGATCACTTGAATATCATGTCTTGCGTCTGTCCATTTTGTGAAGGCCAGTCCTCACACATTATACACTTTGCTTTTCTTGACATACCTGCCACAATGATCAGTATGTGAATGTCAAAATATATATTACATTTACATACACACAAACACAAGAATTGGATTTGTGTTCTTTGCGGATATTCACGCATAGTTTGAAGAGAAGTTAGAGAGCGGGGATCAAGCATTCAAATCTCCATACTCCAATGTTTTGACATCACCATCATTTGCTTGCAGCATTACGGACTTCAAAATGCACTCGATAGCTTCTCAGCTCAACACAATGCAGGAGTCTCAAAGTAAACAGACGTGACTGTATGAATTTGCATAGTTGCGCCATATCCCAACCTTCAAAAGCTGGAGTCAAACAATGTGTGTCTGTGCACTGGTGGCCCTTAATCTAATTGTGTGTGTAGTGAACCATCGGCTGTTTCCTGCTCTGTCGACAGCTTTGTCATTACTGGTCAAACTTTGCCATGGCAGAAACACGACGCGCTCCCAGACCACACTGTGCAGCTAAGTGGCTTTTATTAGGTGACTTTTTGCTGAGGCTAAATGGGGATAACATTTTATTCACAGCAATGAGGGAGAGCCCGAGGTGTGCACGGCCCTAAGTGGAAAGGCTTTGCAACTTAAAGGAGCCCTCCCGTTCGCTTCCGGCACTGTTTTATTACAACTACTGTTTACATCTCCCAATACATCCTAAGTATTTCCATTATTAAGTTTGGACAAATCATTTGCCTCGGGTTCAAAGTAGTATGCCATTGAAACATGATCCCACTGTTGATCTTATTACTGCCAAACCAAACAAGCACAAATCAATTTCAGCAGGAAAGGTAAAGGAAGAAGGGGAAAGGAGTAGGAAATTAGATCAGAGCGATAGAGAGGAGGAGGTGCCGCAGCTGTGAGTCAGGGTG